GTATTGCTATATAATTTTCAACACCAACCACGTTGATGAATAATTTCTCATTCCAGAATAATTAATTAAGCCTGCTCACTTATTCTTAGATTTAAAATAAATAAAATAATAATTATGTTTCGATTTTCTTTTGACAGGAATCCCGAAAAAAGTGAATTAAGAATAAAAATATAAAAATTTAATTTGTAATACAATTGTCTTAAATCATACATTTCTGATTATAAACATTTTTTAAAACAGTTTAACCAAAAATAAAAATGTTGAAAAATGAAGTAATTAATCAATTTTTTTTGTTGGTCAGAGGATTTTGATTCCATTTTACGTACAATACGGTGATAGATGTGCCATAGAATTGTTTTTCAGACACTTTATAATAAATATTTTGTGGGTTAAATTTAATAATAATTCTATAACATATTATAACTTGATACTTATAATAATTTTAGTAACGAGTTCAAGTATCGTATAGTTATTCGAGTCTATAATTAGTACCTATATCTATACTATAATAATTATATACTATCCCTGACTATAATTACGACCCTCAAAACTAAAGTTAACAATGTTTATTGCCGTTTGTCTTTATATTCTCCTAGTAAATAACGCGCGTCGTAGCATTAAATAAACAAGAATTTGGAATGTTTGATTGGTATTGCTATATAACATTCAATACCAACAATATTGGTGAATAATTTCTCAATCCAGAACCCTGCTCACTGCACTTTATTCTTAGATTTAAAATAAATAAAATAATAATTATGTTTTCATTTTGTTTTGAGAGGAATCCCCAAAAAAGTGAATTAAGAAATAAGCTTGCATAACAATTTAATATGAAATGCAATTTTCTTAAATCATACATTTCTGATTATAAACATTTTTTAAAACAGTTTAACGAATAACAAAAATTTTGAAAAGTGAAATAATCAATCAAATTGTTTTTTCTACTCCCGTCTGTAAAATACCTAATTACCCACCGATCTAGCGTGCGGGAAGCATCACTTTACCACGTCAGTTTCGTTTCCCACGAATCCGAGCCACTTCGGACATTTCCGGGATTTTACCGCACGGGTTTGGGAACAGTTTGACGTTTGTCAATTTTGAAGGTCACGTCAGTAAATGTATTCGTGTTGTTTTGCGAAAATGTACCCGCTCGTGTCAAATAAACTCGTGAGTCAAATGTCGTTTATCGCACTTGTTGCATAATATACTATTATTGGTTAGAGGATTTGCATCCCATTTTACCTACAATAGCGTAATAGACGTGCCAAGGAATTGTTTTACAGACACTTTATAATAATAATTTTGTGGACTAAATTTAAAAATAATTCTATAACATATTATAACTTGAAACTTATAATAATTTTTATTAGATAAGGCAGAGGACTGCTTAGGATGTAACGAGTTCTACTCTCATAACTAAAGTTAACACCGTTTATTGCGGTTTGTGTTTATACTTTCCTAGTAAATAACGCTCGTGAAAGCATTAAATCTGTAAGCCATATGAGTTCAGGTACACTCCAAAATTTATGAGATTTTAATTAAATTTCCTGAACGAAAATCATGATGCATTATTCGTTGGCCACGATACGAAATTTGGTTTGTATGTACATTAATTGATTCATAACAAGCATGGAAGTGACAAAGAAATCCCCACACTGAAATAGACACATATAATACGTCTTCTTAGATATTTTTGATTGAGCCATGCAATGCGTCTGCATTTGTACTTCATAAAACAAAAAAAATCGTTAAGCTTCTATGGAATCATTCATGTTTATGAGATTTCGATCAGTGAGCAAGTAATTTTATCAAATATCTTCCGGAACAAATGAATTTTTGCATTTAAGCAATTGTAATGCTCATGCTATTTAACAAACCATGACGCTTTGTAGACCAAATATTTGATTTTTGTTATTAAAAATTGGTTTTTATTAGTTGCTTGTCTATTAAAAGCTGCAACTAATTAATTAGAATTATATATTTAACTACCTTTCTCAAAGAAAATATTTTGTAAATTACATTTTGATTATGGAACTGAATGATTCTCATTTACATTTTAGACAACTAGTATCTAATAGTAGTTTGGGTGTTTTTGAAATTAAGGTAGTTTTTTATGCAACAAGTTCCGTAAGTACCGCTTTAGAGACGACTTTGATTTGGCACGAACTGACAAACGTCAGAATACCATTACTGGTTAAAATCTGCCGAAAACGAAGATGACCTCTTGAAGTGACACATTGAATAAGATTTACACAACATTGAACTGGTTCACGTTTTAAAAATCTGCATTTCATTCCTTATATCTACATTACTTAGCCCAGATTCTGGAGGATTTTCTTTATTTTTGATGAAGAATTTCTATTGCTCCGGAGAAATGAGCAAGAAAAACAAACTAAAGAAAAATACACCGAATAACATACCTTTATCTTAATATCAATCTATTTTCAGAGCTAGTTTGGGCAATATTCCATAGAACGTGGGATATGTAGTAACATCGGTTTGCATTTTCAAAGGATCATAACAATTTGTGCAGTTAAAACTGGAATGATTTATCGACGTCGGTCCTTTTTATTAACGTTAAATTAGAATTGCTGTAGCTCGGTTTATTGGCAAGTGGATCCGTGAAATTAGACGATTTGTTGAGTCTTGTGAAAAATAGTCACCGCAGATATAATTTATAATATTTAAAAATTCAAACTACATAAATGTAACAAAATCGCAAAATCAGAACCAGTAACCGAAAAATCTGTTGAAGTCGTTAAGACTACTGAATGAATTTTGGAATAAGTAGACCAAAACCAAAAAGCGTCCGATTTGTATTTCTCTGTCTCTGTCGGAGATCCTAGACGCAAAGTTCATAAAATATCCTTATCCATGTCCTATACAGAGAGTCAGTGATCTTATTTAGTGCACCCGTAGTGTGAATTAGTGCATTGGCCTAAATACGGAAAAAAGAGCAAGTGCAAAACTGAAGAACCATTCTATGCTAAAATCAAAATTGTATAAAATTTCGTGGGTTCCACTGCCACCTAAAATTTTGAAAATCACTCCAAACATATTTCAGCAAAGGTCAGTAGATTTTCTGACCTGAATCAGCCGTCTCAAAGAGGAGTAGTTGACAGAAACTATTATGGGCAAACGTTCTCCGAAGATCTTTAAATCACAGAACAAGGTAATTTATTGTACGGGGCGTGTTCAAAAAGTAAGGCGACTTCTGGAATTGAGCGGACTATCTACATTCGATCTTGGGTATATTTTTTTGTTATGTTGGTACACATGTCCCTAATATATGTTCAGAGTTTCAGTCAGTTTTCTCGTTTACTTTTTTGTGAGGCTGAAGCGTTAGTCCTGTTGTGCATGCTCGGGGATTTTCTGTAGTAAAAAAAAATAGAACAAAGAATTTGCATAAAATTTTGTTTAAAAAAATGGAATACAATGCTGCAAAACACTTAAAATGTTGACAACGATAGCCAAGAAAACGCCGATCACGAACCTCGCTCTGGACGCTCCAACACGTCAATAACTGATAAAAGCGTTGAAGAAGTGAAACAAAAGGTGTTCGAATCACTTTTGAAGGAGTGCCTGAAGACGTCGGCATCTCTATTAGCTCGTGCCATACAATTTTTTCAGAAGTTTTGGGCATGAAACATGTAGCAGCAAAATTTTATCCGAAACTGCTGTCAAGTTCGTTCAAATGTCAAGTTTTTGCTTACTGTTTTCTTTGATTATCGTCGCGTCATACATAAAGAGTTCTCATCACAAGGTCGTAATAAAGAGTATTACCTTGAAGTTATACGAAGCAATACGAAGAAATCGTGCCAAATTGTAGGAAAAAAATTCATTCATTCATAACGATAATGCACCTGCTCACTAATTGTTGCTTGTGTCTAACTTTTTGGCCAGAAAGAAAACCGCATTCATGCCTCAGCCACCATATTCACCGGATATGGCCCCATGCCACTTTTTCTTGTTCCCAAAACTCAAGAGACCTATGAAAGGAAGGAGGTTTGGAACGATTGAGGAGATACAGAAAAAATCGCTGGAAGAACTCGATTCTATACCAGAAAGTGTGAAGTGCTTCGAGGATTTTGATGAATACATAAATACTTCTTGATAAAACCTAAAAGTTACCTTATTTTTTGAACACACCTCATATATTTCATGTGCACCCCAGCGTGTCTTGCAAACCATGATATATCGGCAAGTTTCAAATGGAACATTATTAACTAATTTATAGATTTACAAAACTAACAAATATTGCAGGAGCAGATGTTTCTTTGTCGGCAAAGACTTCGAATTAATGCAGTATCCATTATTTTTAAAAATCACGTATTTCTAACATTTGTTTCTACCTATACCACCAAACCATCACCGTCTATTAAGCAAGTAATTATTTACAAAAAGGGAAGGTAATTGGGACGCTGGACTAAAAGAAGGTTAATACTGTGCTTCAAAGCTTTAATATAGACAGATATTATAGGTACAATAAATAAATGCTATATATACTTAAATAAATTCAAACGTTCGATATACACTAAAAAGAAAATTATATAATACAAACAGCTGAATACAGAATCTTTAAACTTAATGACCAGAATGAGGCGAATGTGACACGTGGCTAGGATATGAATGTGGATAATTTTATTCACATGTTTTAGAATCACACCAAATAATAATTTATTTAAATAAAACAAAATGCTTGAGATGAGCAAAATTCAGCAGTTGCACGGTCACACTAAAATGATTTCTGTATCGTTCGGATAAAATAATATCGTTTTTGGTAACCGTAGTCTCATTGCGAAAAGAATAAAACGTGTGGTGTTACTGTAAGGCACTAAATTACACACAAAAGCCGGGGATCGATGATCGTTCATTTTTTGTTTTTGTTGAATTTGGCAGTGAGTCGTTTTGCTCGTAAAGTAATTCGCTCTAGGAGTTAAAACCATCACCAGGTGCAGTAGGTAGTACTATCTATTTTAGATAGAGAGATCGCCTCTCACCTGGTACTTGCAGATTTGCTGTCGTGTTGGTACTGCCTACGGGGTTCGTCGCTGTACATGTATATGTGCCGGCGTCCTCTATAAATGAAGAATGTTGTATCATTTCGGAAAATAACCTTTGTCTAGCTATTGTGAAAATATAACAAATTTATGATTGAAAATAGCAGGTAAAGTTGGCAGAATAACAATCAACTTCGAACAAGGTTATGACTGATGGAAATGTAAAAAAATTCAAGTCCAGGGTCCGAGAATAAGTTTGACTTTCAGATGATAACTTAGAAATTTTGTATGAGCATGGTTTATCCTATGGTTACTTGTTTGAAACTTGTTTCTTACAACTGTAAAAGCAAACCTAATATAAGGTGAGACGAGAACAAGACGTAGGAGCGTGATGCATAACGTTCGATCTATCATCAAAAATGTTTTTAGCGGTGTTGACGTTTTTCCGAAAACGTATGCTTTTTGATATTTTAAATGGAACGTCCTTACGTATTACTGCATTACTGGTACATTTTGATTTTCAACAAGTTAACGACTTTCCTTATTCTTTATGTAAATCAATGCTCAAATAATATATTTGTTACTTTATTTTAAAATATCCTAGAATAATTTAAAAAATATAGAATATTATAAATTTTATTCTATATTCGCAACGACACAACCTCTTTTAAATTTTAACCTTCACTCCTACATTTAAATGGCCTGTATTGCAAAATCCCCAGTCTTCACCCTTTAAATTTCCTATTGTACACAACCTATACAGTTTACGCAGTGATTATAGAAAGCATAATTGCGTACCTGGATACGCTTGAGCTATAGTTAGTCTGCAAACCCCATTTCTATAATGAATTTGGTGATCGTTGGAGTTTTCTATAATTCTTCCATTCTTTGACCAAAGAATATTAGGTGGTGGTTCTGACTGTACGATACATTCGAATTTCGCTGCTTGGCCGCTGACAACGGCGATATCACGCAACGGCTGAAACCATGAACGTCATATTAAATACCGCACACTTAAACATCGAATATTTTCTATTACCGTTATAAACATAGGCACCCGAGGTTGACCAAGTATAATTTTGGTACTTCCGGGAGTACTAGGGCAACTGGGTGGAGTTTGGGTCTCCGTTCGATCTATAAAAATAAATGCTCACGATGACAATGATACAATGATGTTTTTTAGTTTTGTATAAAAGTTAGTAGAACTCATGGCCACGAATACTATAAATCTATTTGGTTTGTAGACCAATGGAATCCGATATTTTCTAACTGCAGTTTCAGTTTTAGAATTGCGTTTTCTTATAAAAGTAATTAAAACACGAACTGACGTAAAATATTTTTCTAACCATAGCAATATTGTTATGATTTGAAAGGAATGAAATTTAACAATGACGACGGCGAAAATTACAGAGAAAGAGAGAAATATTGTTTATGCAACTTTGGTTTGACAATATGTGCTAGCCATAGGGGAAGGATGTACAAAATGACATAGTAGGGTCAAATGACATAGCAGTGTTTTCCGACTTATTGCGAACATTTCCGATGTAAACAATCGTAACGAAGTTCGACGTGATGTTTGCATGCCTTTTCGAACGTTTAGTCGCCGATTAGCAGGTCAAGCGGCAGATCGTTAACCTCAATTTATTTTTCGCTAGGAAAAGTGTCTTAAACAAAGCAGATTAGTGGCGTTTTGTTATCATTACAGTTCGCAAATTAGGTTGGTTTATTTAAATTATGTTTTATTAATGTCTGCCCTATGAGTTGCATCTGTTATAGACTTAAAATATTTAATTTGTTTACCCAAAAAAAATTGTTTTATACATTGTGAAGTAGTCGGATGAAATGACATAGTCTACAGGTGGCTAAAATGATAGAGTATGTCGTTTTGACCGATCGATTTTTAAATATGTAAAACATGTGTTTATTGTTTCATTGAAGAACAATGCCACGAGCCTACGTTAGGAAAAAAAACAGGGAGTCATGGTCCGCAGCTGTTGCTAATAATGAAATGGGATGGCTCAGAGCATCTAAAGTTTATGGTATCCCTCAAGCAACACTGAGAAGACATGCTCAAAACAAAAATTAGTCCATAAAAACAGGAGAAAAGCGGCTTGGGCGATTTAAATCAGTTTTTCCGGAGCATGTAGAACGGGAGTTAGTAGAACATCTAAAGTTAATGGAATCTAGATTTTTTGGGTTAAGAAGAAAGGAGGTTTTAGAACTGGTTTATCAATTAGCTGTTAAAAATGGGTTTCAGCGCACCTGTAATAATGAAAAGAAGAGCGCAAGACTGGTTACGAGGGTTTAGAAGAAGAAATCCTGACATTTCCTTACGTAAGCCAGAGGCAACATCCGCGGCAAGGGCACAAGCTTTTAATAAACCCCAAGTTGCCCAGTTCTTCACTCTTCTGAAAGATATTATCCAGAAGAAAAACATAGAGTTTATGAGGATATATAATGTTGACGAATCGGCTCTTTCTATGGTTCAGCGTCCTCAAAAAGTGTTATTTTCCTGTCATTTTACCCATTTGTGTTGTGTGTGGGTAAAATGAACTTTTTGCAGGTGTTTGTTCAGATTCAAGCATCATAAATTTCGTTATTTTTTTATTATTTTTTTCTGTAAATACAGACGTATAGGACAAATGATCTTGCATTTATTACCTTTATTGTTAAGAAAAATTATTTTTTGAATAAAAAAAATCACTTTACAAAATCCTATGTCATTTTGTACACCCTTCCCCTATTGAATTTCCAACCAGAATCGTTTCTTTGCAAATTTAAAATACCGACCCGTGCTTGACAGTGACTAGGTATACATACATTACTTAGACAGGGCAATAAGGGAGTCGGGTGTTCGAAAAACATGCCCACTACACATGGATAACGCTAGAAGTCCGAAGGACAGACTAGCTTTAGGAGACTGAAGTCCGAAAACTCAGATGGTAAAATATAACTTAATTAATTGGGATATGAATATAACAGATATTGTGAGTATTGTAATACAATATGATTTACAATTCTGGTTGCAAATTCAACTAATTTAAGTTTCATTATGGTTTTAGTTTTTGCACTGAAAAATTCCAACCTAGATCTATCAGATTTAAGAACTTTGTAAGAAAAAGACCACAAAACAAACCACAATTCCAATGTACAAAATAGTACTGGACAGGTGCAATCCAAACCCCTAGTTAAGATTTACCTGTCCAGTACTGCTATCACACGTTGTTCTTATGATCTTTGAAATTTTGTGTATGGACTTAGACTGCACTTATTCAGTACTAATATTGGTCAACAGAAATTAAAATTTTTGATTTTAAGAGATTTACACTCATTTTTGGAAACTATTTGTCTTTCTAATAGAGTAAAATGCAAAAAGTCACTTCCATATATCGTATTACGGTTAAGTGGCTTTGTTTCTAAATGCCGGCAAAATTTTCCAGTGCAATAGGAAATGAAAGAAACGATGAAAGCACACCAAGTACCTGCGAAAGTATTGTTAAAAGCTGGAGAAGTACTAGGCAAACTAGGCGATAGAGACATCGGACTACAAGACGACGGTTCCCATCTCGAACCTTGTTTCCGTTTGCTGTCTTTCTCGTATTCGGACATTTCGCTTTCCGACGTGGGGTCCCATTTGTTAGTAAATTTCTTCGGTTTAAACTGCGGAGTGGGAGCCTGATAGTGGTTAGTGTCGTGAGAAGGTTTATTTGTGGTCTCGTGGTAAACGGGCATCTCTATATCGACCGCCCGTTTTGGTGGTTCTATCACGGTTTTTTTTGGTACCGGAATCTCGCCAGCTTTGCTCTCCCCCGGCAGTATAATGCCAAATTCGTAGCCGAAATCGTACTTGAAGTATATCAGTCCCGTATCTGGGTCGACATGCTTTGTTCCTATGGAAAATGGGCGTAAAATATGCGTCAACCATTAGTTCTAATAATATTTATTAGTTATTTTGGTTAATGTTAAGAGGTTTTTAATATCGCATACCAGTTTCCCACTCTCAATGTGGGACAATGTTTTATTTGAAAGATGAAGCACTAACCAAACTATGGTAAACTAAACTAATGTGGGAGACTACTGCACTACTAGGTTGAACAGTTCACACAGTCACAATGGAAGTTATATCCACCAACGCTGGTGTGCGTTATTAGCAGTTAGTAAACGTTGTAAATTTCTTAAATTTTAAATTTACATTACAGTATTACAGTGAGATTCTCTGTGTACAACAGGGAGCTCTGACTATATTTTATGTTATACTGTTTTGAGATAGCATGTTAAAATTCAAATTTTAATGTGGGCTTCAGGAGTTTTCTTCGAGTCGTAGATGTTAGTCCCTCCCGACATAAAAACTATTTTGATGTTATGCTTTTCCGATGACGTACCTTTTATATACGAAATCGTTACGAAACGCACAAATAGTTTAGTTAACAGTTGATAATAGATCCATCTATCCTAGAAGGTATTATAAATAAATAAGATTACTTATACCACGAGATCTAAGCTAGTGTGAACATAGAAAGTGACTATCAACTATCAAGGCAGATCGGAGAAAGACTTGTTCAAGATTTCTTTTTCGAGCCATTTGTGAATTACCCTGCCTGTTTGCAATTTATAATTTTGCAAAAATGTTGGACAGTTTATTTTCGTTGCCCCAAATGTCCACCAAAAGGTTCTGCTTTATCATTCAACTGGCTAATCAGAAACTTCCTGAGATCTGTTTGATCACTGTAATTTAAAATATAATTTTTATTATTTTCGAAAAAATACTCACAATTTTAACCGTATTAGCAAAAACTCTCAGATTAACATAAATGCCTTAGCTATGAAATTGTAAAACTACTTCAAGAACCAGAAAATGATAATCAGTTAAAAGTACTGAAAATATAAACCAATTTTTTCTTGTCGTTGAACTCTGATAACCATCGCAAAAAGGTTATGCGGTACTTTATTATTTTATTCAATACAATGAGTAATACTCAAACAGTACCTGAGGTCATGGCTCTAGATTCTTCCCTGTACACTTGCGCGTCATCCCCGTCCGATTTCAGTATAGGCCTCTGTTGCTGATTCACACTGACATCGTTCATTATATCTTTGACAAACTTCTGCGTTTTCGATTTAAAATCTTTCGTCATGCTGTTCATGTGATGGGTCGCCATTTTGGTGGCTGTGGATCTGGTGATTCTCTGGTCTTGAGCGTAGCCATACTCCGGCGGACTACCGGGTTTTAGTTTTATCGCGGGTTCATACGACTGACTCCTTTTCATCACCTGATTCGAACCAAATTCCGAAAACTTTTTAAACGTAGACTCGTTTCTCGTGGTCGTATCGGTAAAATCAGTTGTCGATGATACGGTTGCAGGTTGCGTATCGAACTCCATCGGAGTAAGGATTCTTTGTTCGTATCCAGTTTCGCTGGTGTAGATTCTAGACGGCGTCGGTGCTTTAACCCTTCTGTAATGAACATCTTCCGTGTCGCTGCCGCCCGGCGTCCATTTCGGTTTAATTTTGGTGGATTCGAATTCGCTTTCGTAATCACTCTCGCGAAATTCCCCTGGCACGAATTTTGTCGGCGTAGGCTGAGCCGGCACGCTAGTAGCCCTTCTGATCCTGTCCTGCTTGTAAGGGAACGAGTCTACCTGTTCGCGCCCCTTATACTGATCTCCGAATTTGATGACTTTATGCGTTTGCTGAACGCTCATCATCCGATGACACGTGTCGGTCGTTTCGTCCAGGTGAACTATATTCGAAGTTTCGGTCTGAACGGCGTTTTCGAATGGAGCGCTGACGGTCGACTTGTAATATTGCGTCTTCTTCGGAGTTGAACCGGGGCCTAGTTTTGCTTTAGCAACGGTTAAATCAACCGCCTGCGTTGCCGATACCGCTTTGGGTCGAAAAACAACAGGTTTCGAAATAGGAGTAATTTTCTCGATTGGCTCAAATTTTGGCCTCGGAGGCCCGTCGATGTGCGGGGGATGGTCGAATTCGGTCGGCGGCGTCGGCGTTCGGCCAATTTGTTGATGTTGTTGACTGGGAGTTAGCACCGGACGTACGGGTTTGTAGTGACGATCGTCGCCTGAACCCCACACGGGAGGTATACGACCCTCGTAGTCGCTTTCGTAGTCGCTTTCCCTAAACTCGCCTTTGACGAACTTAGACGGGCTCGGTGGTGGGGGTACCTTTTGCTTTCTGGTCGGCGCTACGTCGGGCTGATACGGGAACGGCTCCAATTTCGTTTGTTTTTCGCGATGTTCTGTGAATTGCTGCGTCGTTTGACTCGTCACTATTGGAGTAGCGATGAGCTCCTAAAAAATATTGCGTATTACATTCAAACATCGATTAAAGACATTTTTCATGCAAATTGATGCAGAGTAGATCGAAATTTTGCTATTGCTGTTTGAAATTAGATTTTAAAGTACTACTGTTTCGAATTCTAAAGGCACATTTAAAAATATACTGTAAAACGCACTATACTAGACTATACTGATTCATAAATACGTGGTTTTCAAAAAACTTTACTTTTGTGATTTGTGCAGATATGATTTTAATATGCTTAAAGGATAAAAATTTTGATTTTTAAATTTAAAACATTTAAAAATTAAATTAAATTTTTGTTAGAGTTTATGATAACATTGGGCCTTCAATACTTAATTGGGTATGCGGAGACATTTACAGTGCAATGTAACAAAGAACAAAGACATATATTATTTACACAAGGCGGTCAGAAATTTTACCTAATCTTATAACACGTCTTAGCACGTACGTTTTATTTTTCTCGATCTTAATTTTTTTCTGCTTTTTTGGTGTTTTATTTCATCTAGTCCTTTCAGTCAAGTCTGCTAGGCTTAAAGCGGAATTCAGCAATTTTATAGATGCATTGGAAACTTTCTTATATTGTGCTATATGAATGTAGACATAAAATTTAGGTAGGATACTTAAAAATGTTATAAATATAAATTTTAATACTTCTGGGACCAAAAGGATTGCTCTATTTTACAATCCATACCCAATTAATTTTGACAAATGTCACATTTAAAATCCAAAGTTTGCCAAATCTTATAACATTGTTTCAAGGTTTAATTGTAAATTAAAAGAACAAGTCAAATAAAATTCATATAAGATAATTTGTTGTTCGAGCTGAAAAATTAAACACTTCTTCAAGTAGTAAGTAGGAGGTGGTTCTATGACAGTTTGATAACCTAACGTAATATGAAATCGGTAATTTATCTTATATACTACATATACTATAATATACTGTAGATCAAAACTTTGAATCCTTAGTGCTTAGTAGCAAACCGTAGCTCTCAGACTCATGACAGATATCTACTTTAGGTAAAACATTACAAAAAACTTATGAGATCTGACACTAATACTTTGGCTTTCCCTGTACACTCTACCACAGAGTAGTAGATGCTTATTCGATCCCCTGTAGTTAAGATTCATAATGCATATAGTAAGATGTTGAAGAGTCTCAATAACAAGATCTTTTACAAAACACAATAATTATTATGGACAATACTTTAAAGTGCCTATACAACACTGTGAAACGCAACTCGACAAACACGACAAAAAATTAAAAATTATTTCATTGTTTCAGTCCGCAAGCTGTTCTTAAGATTGCTGGCAGCACTACATTCTAGAAAGCTCTTTGCCATGCTTACAAAAATAGGCAATGCGAAAAGGAAATCGAAAAACGCAGCTAAATATAAGGCACACCAATTAACACAATCGAACCTTTTTTGCCGTCATTGACGAGTGATGCTTTTTAACCGGAAATTTGGCGGTCCTGACTTTGGGCGCCACAATTTTTTGACTAGAACTCTCAAAAATTTTCTGACTGGTTTGAGAAAACTGCCTCGTTTCCGTTCTTTCCTCTTTAGAATACTCGCTTCTCATAAATTGTTGGTTAAACGGCTCATCCGTATCGGCCATGTACCCGTCGATGACGACTTTTTTCTTAGCTTTTGGCGATTCCGGCTTTTTCTCCGGAACGACGTAAATCGGAGGACTGGCGGGTTTTAGTTTGGGCGGTGAAACTTCCCTGCGCATCGCCTCGTAATGTTTGGTGAACTTCTTTATTTGCGACGAATCCTTTTTGCGTCTGCATTCTTCGAAATTTATCTCGGGCCGTGGCGGACCCTTGAATTGCGGCGGCTGATCGAATTGAGACGGAGGCAAGGGTTCCGGTTCTTGAGATCGCGATCGTCCCGTGGATAGGAGTTTAGGCGGTCTCACTCTCCTGTACATAGGCTCCTCCGTATCGCTCATCGAAGGCTTCCATTTTGGCGGTATTCTCACCGCTTCGAAATCGCTTTCGTAATCGCTATCGGTGAATCTCCCTTTGATGAATTTTGATGGGGTGGGAGGTGGTCCCACTCTCGGCGGTTTCGGCTGTTCGGGTTCGGGTTTGAACGGGAACGGCTCCAGATCAGGGAACTTTTCAAACGGCACGTAAGGCAAGGAGGTTGTTTTTTTAGGCTTCGGCTTAGCGGGTAGAGGCGGGGCTTGGGGATACTCCTTTTTGGGCGGCAATGGCGGCGGGATGGTTCTTACGGCACAAGGAGGCACTTTTGAGGGTTCTCTCTGCAAATCTTTCTCGAGTTCATGTTCGATCATTTCGACGTAAGACCGCCTTCTTTCCGTGGGTGGTGCCGCGTAACCGATTTCCGGAGGCGGTCCCGGTTCCAAATAGACTTCGTCGGTGATATCCTGGACCGAAACTGGACGGATGGATATCGAATCGATCGATGGGTAAGGCTTCGAAGGTTGTGCAACATATTCTTGTACGGGACCAGTTGGCGGCCAAGATTTTATTATGTCCGAAGGTCGTTTATTGCTTTCCTCGATTATACTTTCCGATTTCTTGCTCGAGAAAGATTCCAAGTTTTGATCTTTGACGGTCGTCTCCAGCCGAGTCACCTCGCCTATATAATGCGGCACTAGAACTGGAGTTTTGTCTAAAAAATCCTTAGATTCTTGCACCGTTTTTTCGAATTTCACATGGACAGGAGACCATTTTTTTTCCAGCGTGGTTTGCGTGGACCACGTTGATTGTAGTTTGGGTTCTTCAGCAGCTGTTGGCGGCCAGGATTTGTCCACGTGCGTGTCGGAAAATTTGTGCGCCCATTGTTTCTCCATTTGAATTGCATCTAGAGAGGGTTCTCCCGACATGGCCGATAACGGACGGCTAAAAGTATGTCTCTCGGTCGAGTACGAAGACGAAGCTGCGGATATCGGCCTTTCTACCATTTCGTGCTTCGTGGACCATATCTTTTGTATCGGTGGTAGCTCTGGCGTTTTATGTCCTTCGCTTTTTTCGTAGCTATGGCTATACGAAGAAGATGAAGTTTGAAAAGACGAAGTCTGATAAGAGCTCTCGCTCTTCTGAGAGAATTCCTTCCTCTCCGAAGTTTGAGACGGAAATATTTTGACGCCGCCCTGAGGTATTTCGTGAGGTGGTAGCTCTTTCTGTTTTTCGGATATTTTCCTAATTTTCTCAGAAACGTTCTCTATTTTACGAGTCGGTTCCGGTTTTGGGGTATAACAAATTTCCGCGGGTGGTTCGGGTTTGATATCGAAATCTCGAACAACCTCCTTCGAGTAGGTTTTGTAGTGCTGAGGTTCCGAGATGTGTTCCACGGAAGAGAATGAAGAATATTCTTGAGTAAATGGCTTTTTGGCGCTAGGTGACTGTTCTTGGAAAATTTGTGGCTTGAATGGCTGAGACACTTCTTGCGTTTTCGAAATACCTTTATATTCGTGCATTGTCGATTCAGATTTATACTCATTAGTCACTTCATTCTTCGAAGAAAATGTTTTATATTCTTTGATTGGTGGCGTCGACGTGATATTTTCCGAAAACGGAACGTATTCCTTCTGAGGCTGCTGCTCGAGCTTAATCGGAATGTCCGTTTCCTTTTTCACACTAGAGAACTTTTGATAAATTTCAGGCTTTATAGGTTCTGGAACTGCAGACTCCTTTTGCGGGGAAGCAGCCTCGCCTTCTTTCATCTTTTTGACAAAGAACTGAAGGGATGACTGCTTAGAGATCGAACTGGTTTCGATTCCGCCTTCTTGAATTTCGGTTCTTTTCTCTTCAATCACTTGTTTTTCAGTATCGGGTCCTTGTATTATTTGGAAATCAGTTTGCCGTTCGATATGAGCCTCGATCGGTTTAGGGAAGGGTATATCTGGAACTTTATGTTCGAGTTTGATAGTTTGCGAGTGCTGGGCGATTTTTTGTTCAGATGTTGAAGTAAATTCCGATTTTGAGCTATAAGACTGGGAAATTTCGCTAGTGGCGTTGATCGGAACCTTTGGAATTTCAAAGATTGGTTTTTGTGTTGTAACTGAAGAAGATGTTTTATCAGATGCCGAAGCCTATATATATATAGTTTAAATTAATACCAATTCCTATACTAATATCTTGCTACACTTACCAATGTTTCGTGTTTTTTAACGTCCTCGAATACTACGGTTTTTACCACCTCCATCATAGTGTCGGGCGTAGGTTCGTATACTGCTATGTCGGCAATACTTTGAGCTTCGCCTCCTGCGTTCGTAGCTCTAACCATATACCTTCCAGTATGACTTAAATCTCCTTTAACAAGTAAAGTTTGTTATAACATTTATCTTTCATGAGAATGGAAACATAAAGACAGCATTTTTTATGCTTTAATTGGAATTTTATGAGTTACACATCAGTGCAGTGTTAAATCAGGACTCACCTTTTTCGATAATAAGGGAATGGCTCTGGCCTATAGATTTAACCTTACAGTTGTTGCCCAAAGCTTGTTTGATAGGCACCCCATCCTTGTACCACGTTACCGTCGGTTCTGGAGTTCCGGTAATTTCCACATCCATGATTATCCTATCGCCTTTCTTGGAAACCTGAGCTTGAAGGCGACGACCGAAGACTGGCGGGAATATCGTTTCTAAAATGAAAAAGGATAAGTGAACCCCATGTCGAATTGTTTTTTGGACACTACGTACTTCTGACGACCAAGTCAGCAGTACTGGTGGCGGAACCAGCTTCGTTCGTCGCGGTGCAACTGTACCTCCCTCCGTCTTCACTGTTCGTGTTTTTGATTTCAAGCGACGCTTTGTTTAAATCGAATTTAATCTTGATCCTATCGGTCTCTCTAAGTTCTTCCCCGTTCTTTGTCCAAGTTACTTTTGGGGTTGGCTGTCCGTCTAGTATGCCCTCCAGAATGACGTCCACGTATTGATCGACTATCTTGCCCGTGACAGGAGACACAAATTTCGGTGGCCTCGTAATTTTAGCTGGTTTCGTAATAACTGATTGCTCTATTGATTTCGTTTGTTTATTAATATCGACCTGATCTCCGATTACGTAAGTTGAAGACGATTTCTCGGAAATGATTGCCGGTTCGTTACCAACCTTATGGTATTCCTCGATTCTTTCGGATTTTTGAATTTCTGGGGCTGCCTGGTTTACTTGCTTGAAGAACTGAGCATTTTGAGAGACGGTCTTATGTTCTTCTATATGGGGCTCCGCGCTGGTCGTTGTCGTCATCTTGCTGGAGGAAACCGTGGAGGATTTAGTAACGACTTCCTTGTTAACCGAGTATGACGTTTCTACGTGTTGCTTCGTTTCGATTGGCAGACCAATTGATGCGGGTAATGAAACTGATTGCGGATGAACCGAAAGAGAGGCAGCCCAACTGGCTTTGCCGACTTCGTTTTCCGCTACGCATGTTATGGTACCTTGGTGTTCCTTTTTGAGGTTGGGAATGCTTAGCACTTGCCGATCTCCAGAAGTGGAGATTAGAAAATCTTTACCCGAGATAGAGTCACCATTGAAAAGCCATCGTATTTTCGGCGTCGGTTTTCCAGCTACGATGCATTCAAACTTAGTGGCGGTATCTTCGAAAGCAACTCGGTCGTTGAACAGTTCCTTAAAGACCGGAGCCGATTTGGTTTCCTCGTGTTTTACCGATTCGGAAGGTTTGGACGTTTTTACTATTAGTTGCGCGAAGCATTTCGCGTCTCCGGCGAGGTTGGAAGCTTTTACCGTATAAACGCCCTTATCGCCAGCTTTCGCGTTTTCAATTTCCAGTTTGAAATTGCCTTCCGAATCGTGTATTGTTTTGTAGTGTTCGTTGTCGGTAACGGGGATGTTGTTTAAGAGCCATTTTAGTTCGGGAGTTGGTTCCCCGGTTACGTTTCCTACAAAACGAACTTTTTTATTAAAATTTATGATAAAGCAAAATCTATTAGCAAAGCTACACAAATTAGAGAAAAAAAATGAAAAATAAATATGGCTTTATTTAGTAAAAGATTTATTTTAAAAAAATGATAAAAGGTTATCTAGAAAAAATTCAAAAAATTCAGCGTACTATTTCAATGCTTTGGAATGATAAATAAATATCGTATCTTAATAAGAAGAGACCACGCGAGCCCTAATAAAAGTGATGTATGGTAGGAAAAATTTTAATTTGAATAAAATTGCAGAATCCATTGGATAGTTGTTATTAGTGAATTAGTTCAACTACTAATTGGAATTGCGGAATATTTGTATTTGGTGAAATAACGGAAGATCAAGAGAATAAAATAAAATAAAAATGTATAGGGTGAATGAAAGTAATATACATTGAGTTTCAGCTTCGTGATTTTTACATATAAAATCTCAAAAGAAAATTTAAGAATAAATAAGAACTAAAAGTTCATATTTCCACAAAATTATATATTTTGACATGACAATTGTTTCCACAACACCGTGCCTTTATTAAATGTGGTTTAAAAATAGCTTTCAGAACTAACAACACAATAGGAAAATATTTGAAAAACAATAAAACGAAATGTCCAAAATCTCAAAAATCAGGTGTCTACAGGTTGAAATGAGGATTCTAATTATGCTACACACTTAAATACAGAAAAACACATTTTTGACGACAATTTTGATATTTTACATAGAGCCACAAAAAGTAGAAAATTAAATTTATTAGACGCAATGGAGATTAACAAATTGAGACATTCAAATGTATTGCTTAACGATCCATTAGATTTAAATACCTCTCCTTTATTGAACTTAAATTCTCACAACAACATTAATTAAGGTTTTATGGTCATTTTTCGGTATAAATAGTAGCAGGTAGTTGTTGAAACAATTGTCATGTAATAATATATAATTTCATAAAAATATGAAGTTTTAGTTCTTATTCATTTTGAGAAAATTTAAGGTAAATGACGCTGATGAGGGTCAGAGAAGAGGGTTGGCTGAGCGAAGTGAACGAGGCAGTGATTGTAGGTAGCTAGGTGCTAGGTACGAATGACTTTGCAATGAAGCAGTTTTTTGATAATGTAGGCCTGAAATTTTACAATGAGAATTTACGGTTGAAACGAAAAACTGAGGCGCATAGTACGTTAATAAATGAAAAACAGACTCACCTTCAAATGATACTTTTTCGCCTTCGGAAACCAATACATCGGTCAAAAGCTTAACAAATTTGGGAGGGACACTAATTGGTTCCGGTGGTTTAACAGCACTTGGTTTAGGTTCGACGGTAAGAGAACATTCACTCGATGCCTCTCCGGCAGAGTTTAACGCGACAACTTTATATTGTCCCGCATCTTCGGGAAGCACCTCCTGGATAACCAATGAACATCGATCGCCTTGGAAAAGTAGCTGAAAATCGGGCGATTCCTTAACGGGGTGGTTATCGTGGTACCAAATGACTTCCGGTTCCGGTTGACCGACTATTATGCAGTCTAGGCGGATTTTATCTCCTTCCTTTACGGTCGTGTCCGTCAGTTGCAGCTGAATCGACGGTTTGACGGGTTCCATATCGCTAGCCAGTTCCGAATCGGATGTTTCTGTCGGCAATTTTCCTTTGACTGCAACCGAACTGGTAGACGAAGCTTCACCTGCGACGTTTTTAACATTTACAGTGTAAGTACCGGCGTCTTTCGGGAACGCCTCGTATATTACGAGTGTCGCCCTGTTGCCTTCGGTTTGCAGCTGGAAAGTAAAAAAAGTGACGATGTTTAAACGAAGAAACGTTTCTGTGATTCAGAAATAAATTTATTCGTCAGTTGCAGGTATAGCGTATTTTTAAATTCGTATGCCGCCGTTCATAAACAGCGAAAGTTTGCGAAAATAGACACGAAGTATTTGGTCATAAAAATGGTAGCTCGGTGTCTGTCTGGTGGTTTTTCTGTATATTTTTGCACTTCACCCATTAAAGATACAAAAAGAGTGCAATACGAAAGTTTCATGTCATATCAAAATGTCCAACATTAACATTGTTTAAATATGCCACCACCATGTATACCTCAAACTCTGATAAAAATTCTGATTTTTCGACTTCTTTTATATAAAAAAATTATATTATTTTTCAGAGTTGATTTTAGCAGGCATTGTTGAGATATCTCCATGTAAATATTTGTGTTATTAGTAATAAAAATAAGAATGAAACCAAAGATCTTGTCTAAATATCCTGATAGCTGAGAAACGCCTGTTTAAGGCAACCATTACCAACTATATTTCTTCTGTATAGAACACGTTGGGGATTAAAATTTGTTCTCAAAATTAAATATTCTCTGTCTCAACAAATTAATTAATAACAAACTAAAACCGTCAAAATTTTGACATTTGATATTTTCGAAATCAAACATTTGTGGATTAAGGCAATTTTGCATTCGATCTTCTCTTCTCCTCTCTTTTTAGAGACACTGTGTATTACATCATATTCTCTATAATAAGATTTTTTTTAATTCGTATTCCAAATAATTTTTCGCGTTTTCATGTAGAATTTTTCGAATTTGCCGCCATGTATATTTGTGAGATTTCATTCATTAGCTTTGGAAATACCTGCATATATATTTGTTCGGAAGATCTTTAAAAAGGTATTTGGGTCTTAAACATAATAGTGGCAATCGCAAATTGTTACTTACAGGACATTTAGTTTTCGAGCTGGCAAATTTATGAACATTTTCAAAAATGTTTAATATTGTGTGATGAAAATCTAGAACAGTAAATGTATAACATATGTACTGGGACTTTCAGTATCACGTATTATTTAGCAAACCTTAAGGTAGGTTTAAGGTAATCATAATTCTCAAAATCTTGAAAAGAACATTAAATATTTTTGAAAACACATCAAACAAGCAACCTCTACCTCACTAGAAATTTTAGATGCAGCTGTTGCTTCATGATGCTTCAAAAGTTTAAATAAAATTTTGACTTTTATCATTGTTTATTAGCAGACATCTAGAAGCTCCTAAAAATAAAAATTATTTTCATGAAAAATTCTTCAAAACTAACGAAAACTAAACAAAAACTTGATCAATATTTCCCGAACATTGATATTTAAACTAAAACTACTCCAGTGGATTCTACGTACAATTGAAAATACAATATCTACGATACCACCCTCTAGCTCGGAAACTAAGAGTGTTAGGACAGTTTTCTTAGCGGCATCTTTCGCTTCTCAAAAAATGGGATCCAAAATAAAATAAAAATAATAAAAAATAAGTAAATAAATAAATAAAATAAAACCAGGTTATGGTAATTTATTGCATTCTAAAACAGTGTTTACGAATGGTACTTCGCACAGATCTTAAGCAATGCGTTTTTGCCTTTGCTTTCCTTTTTTATGTTGGCACGTTCCGTCGGGTATATGTGTATTTTTAAATCGTCCCAGTTCAGGTTGTCGGCTCAAAGCGTGCGGCATTAAATTATGAAAATAATTTCTGTAAACTCATTAGGCCAGTTAATTATTTGTTTTTGATGCAAGATGATGCATAGTAGGTTAGGTATGCTAATATCTTTTTACTTAATTAATCAACCTGTCCTGATTTTTTCGAAAAAAAAATGTAGATTTAAAATAACGCAACATTAAAAAAAAAGTGATTCGTATATGTCGCAATATCCAGCTGTTCCAGCCAAGTTCGCTTTCAGAGGCAAGATCAGGATCATCGACTTTACCTTCACCTTCCATTTGCCGGAGGAATCGTTTATATTAATAGTACAGTCGCTATACCTGGAAAGTTTTGCTTTAGATAATTTTATTAATGTGACGTACTCTTTTCGAATTTTATGCTACCGGATTTATTATGGATGGAGCACACAAAAGCAGCGTTTTGACAATATCTTCTTTGCTACTCATTTTGCAATTAACGTTCAAAAGTAAAGTAAAGAAAATCTATCGTAAGTTCTACTTCCAACATGTATTCTCAGTAGACAAGGACAAATATTTTAGGTAGAATTGCTTTTCATACTAAACCATAAAATTGTCTCCTTGGGTATGGTGAAGCTTGTTTATCAAAAAAAAAAAAAAAGATTTACAGAAGAGTAGGTGTTAAATTAGATCCTAGCGTAACGTAGCCTAGACATGTATTTGCGTAAGTGTTTTTATTTTAAAATGAGAGGAAAAGAAATGTGAAATCTAAATCTATAAGATGACACTTTTAAATAACCTTTCTAAACTAAGAAATTTAACAAACTTTACAGGTAACACTAAATAAATATACTAAGTCTTTAATATACGCTACATAAAATTGATAGAATTGGCCAAAACCAGATCAACTATCATGTAAGACTGAGCAATTTCAGTATATTTATGTGAAATATTTGGCGGTCAATATTTCAAAGTATCACGAATTCGTAAATTATGAATAGCTACTCTAAGTTGATTTAAAATTTGGTAAAATTCGTGTCATTGTTATCACCGATGATGGAAAATCAATGTTAACAGCAACATGTACGCAGAAACCAACGAGTTAGTACAATCAGAATCAGCGACAAACGTGTATTGCATATCAAAAATCCCAAAATACGATCGACGACATTACACCTGACCGGTCCAAAATTAACATCGTATCATAAAAATGATCACCCACGCGAATTGCACACCGAACCGTACCGGGCAAAAACCAAAACGAAAAATTCGACGGCACTCTCGCCCTTACCTTGAGTTCACGCGTTTCCTTCACTGGTTTGCCGTTGTGTGACCAGGTTAAAGTTGGCTGCGGCAATCCGGAAAACTCGCATTCCAATTTTATTTTCTGACCGGCCCGAGCCATCACGTTAGACAGAGGCGTCAGGAACTGGGGTGCTTCGGCGGAGTCCGATGCTGAAAAATTTTTCTTTTTGAATCGAGTGTTAGTAAGACGTAGGAATAAGTCGCAACAGTCATTCTTAAAGGAATTCTATTTTACAAGGTGATTACAAAAATCCCATATTTTTATGAATTACTAGCCGGTTTTGAAGCCAAAAGTTTTTTTTTGGGAAGCTGGCTATAAATTATTGAGATAAAACCAAATAATACGAGATGCCATAAACTCACTGAAAAGTGAAAACTGTGTTCGAAGGCTCCCTGAACGTTTGTCATAAATAAATCGATATACGGTCATTTGGAAAAGGACATTTGGGCAATATATTATCGAGCGTGGTCTGCATAGGAAAAATGTTATTCCCAACATGGCTTTCTTCAAGGAACATCAACTGTAACAAATCTACTTACTAGATTTCAGAATTTAGGAGAGCTTTGACTATGATGATGGAAATGGACTCTTGCTGATTAGAAATTTTCTTTAGGATAGTAAATTTTGACGTAGAGTAGGGTCTGCTCCCTTCAAAGACTACAATATTTAGAATGGTACTCCTCAGCTTCCAGTAAACTACTTATATTTGCCCATGATACTAACATCCCACCTCTTTACAAACTAAGAGAGGACCTGAACAACTGTAAACGATTGAACAGACTAAAAAGATGCTGTTTAAGGCCAGAATTTAATACTTCTGAATAGATCCTAGTTTAGGCGTATTATAAAATAAAGTGGGAATAACCTGTTTTAAGAAAGACTAAAGACTCAAACACTAAATATTATAAAATTAAATGGTATTCAATGTATTGCTTGAAAGAGTCAAGAAGAAAGATAAACTTCCGTATGTGCTACGAGTGTGCTACGAAATCTTCCTTAAGAAAATCCCATGGAAGCCTTAAAATAAATAAGAAACTCTTCGTATGCATAGACTACGTGGTGACCTTATTAAAACATTTAAAATTATCAATGTTTGTCATAACTGCGATTTGAGAAATGTCTTCCGCATTAACCAAAATGGAAACGAAGTTATCTAAGGAACCCTGCAGTAAGATATTGGAACAAAATATCATGAGATCTATTTCTAGGAATGTCCTCAACATGAATTAGTTCAATAATCGATTTGACAGACAAATATTGAACAGAGATAAATGATTTATTCATTATATGCGTAACTTCATTTATCTATTATTTCACATAAGGACATAGGTACTGACTAATTAGTTTCACCGGCTTTTCGTGCTTTCTATTGAAATCGGCAGTCATAGTAGTAATAATAATATTTTAGCTCAAATTGGCTGTAATTTTCCTGTATTCTAATATTCCTTATCAGATTTCCTTGATTGTTTTTCTTTCAGTTACAACTTGCTTGTTAAAAAATATTTTAATTAATTCAAAAGCATCGCAGGAATTGCATAACTTTAATAGATATCAATTCATAATAAGACCCTAATATATGTCAAATCTATTGCAAAAAAAAAAACTGAGGCGGCTTTTACTTGATGAAAATCCATTTAACAAAATAAATAAGAACTCAAAGGTTCAGATTTTCCCGAAATTATATATTTTCCCATGACAATTGTTTCGACAACACCGTGTCTTTATCAAATAATCAAATAATAATATCACATTTGAAAAATAAATTAAATAATTTGTCATTATCATTGATTCATTTTTGAGATTAAGTTGAGTATTTCGCAGGCGTTACAAAATTTTTGCTTTTTGTTAAAGGCATTATGGAGTGAGTGAGTTATCGAAAAGTTTAAAAATTTATCGTTACGTTTGTAAAAGAGCATACAAATTTGCACGCAGTTCAAAATATATATCATAAATTTGAAAAAATAATAATTTTTCCAAGACTAAGCCACCATTTTTTAATTCCTGCAATCAATCTTAACACGTTTTTACACGGTAGTAATGAGTAAATCTATGATGCTTATTTACGGTTCGCTGAACTTATGTTAATGACGAGTGACAGCGGAAAATGCTTGAAATACGTTTCCTAGATCATTTGTTTTGGTGGGTTTAAAAATACCAGCCCAGTTAATTTTAGTTGAAATTGCAAGCGGTTTGCGTACTTTTTTTTTCGTTTCCCTTCCCCTTCCGAAACTTTTTTTTATTAAACTTTAATTTTACAGACATATAATCAACTTTCATTATATTACTCCTCGATAATGGGTGTAATAAAATTTAGTTAATTTAAATAATCGGTATAATAAAATTTAACAGGCGAAATTAACGGCGAGCAAGTAGTTATATATGATTTTCGAAAAGCTGACATTTTCTACGAAAATACCACATTGCCCAGAAAAGGTTTTGTAGCATACTTTTTCGTTTTCGGAGCAATCATTTTATTAATCATTTATGATATTCAGTCATCCATTTGGGCCAGTAAAATCAATTGCTGACGAATCAAATTTTATTTCGTGAATATTTTCGATCCACTTTTAGCAACAAGCAAAGCAAAGCTATAAAAGATCAGATAATATCAAATTTCTACTGCACGCCTCTTGTAGAATAACAATAAATTTTCTTTTTCACCTCTTCATGATTAGGTCAGTTATTAAAACTACAATAAATTTAAGTGAAATAAAAACTCTTTATGCAATTGATAAATATGATTGTCGGGAATATTTCATAGAATGTGGTTATTTTTTAATCGATAGTTCGTTTTTCTCTTTCAAAAATCTTTTACAAATTGTTAAATAAAAAACAAATTTTGAAAACTACTTACGAGTAACTAACAGGTTAGCCGTGCTCTGTGCAGTTCCTTGCTGGTTGCTGGCCTTGCAAGAGTATTCAGCTTTATGCGCAAGATGAACATTTTCAAAGCTCAATATTGCCTCACCGTTATTATAAGTAATAACATAATCAGGAGAATTATCAATGCACTCGTTATTCTTGAACCACTGAACCGTTGGCAATGGGTTTCCTTCAACTTTACACTCGAACCGAAATGTACTCCCTTCCTTGGCCACTCCAGGTTGCAATAACTTGGCGAATGATGGTGGCGTTAACTGTTCCTCGGGTTCCGTTTCTTTCACGGATAGCACTGCCGATGTTTCAGCCATCCCCGAGGCATTGATTGCCCTGCACGTATATTTCGAAGAGTCCTCTGCGAACGTTTCTTCTATTGTAAGGGTACACAATCCGTTGTGAACAGAAGTGTGATAGTCTGGATTGTTTTGTATGGGAACGCCTGATTTAAACCAAGTAACTTGAGGTGTAGGATGACCAGTTACTTGACACATGAATGTAAACTTTGATCCTTCTTGAATAACAGCATCGCTAAGTGGAGAAATAAATACTGGCGACTCGTGGGGTTCTTCCACCATTGGACTCTTTTCCCTTTGTAAAGATTCTATTTTATGGGTCTCGGTTATTTCTGTGATCTGAACTGAATGCTGCTTGTGCTTCTCTTCTTTTAGTCTCGCTTGTTCCGCTTCGAGTCGCAGTCGCTCTGCCTTGCGTTTTTCTTCTTCTTGACGAATCAATTCCTCGGCTTTCCTCTTTTCGTCGTCAATTCTCGCCTGCTCGGCTCTAAGTCTCTCCATTTCTATCCTAGCTTCTTCCGCCACTTTCCTTCTTTCTTCTTCTAGTTGCGCCCTAAGTTGTTGCTCTTCTATTTTAATTTTCTCAGACCTTATACGCTCTTCTTCGATCCGAGACAATTCGGCGTTCTTTCTTTCTTCTTCTAATAACTTTTTCTGCTGATCCAATTTGGCTTGTTCGGCGCGCAACCTCTCTTCTTCAACTAAACGCTGTTGTTCAGCCTGCCTCTTTTGTTCTTCCAATTTTTTCGCTTGCTCCATTTGTCTTGCAACTTCCGCTTGTCTAGCCTCATCAATTCTACGTCGTTCCTCTTCCTCGGCCTTTTGTCTGGACAGTTCAGCCTGTTTAGTTTCTTCCAACAATCTTATTTGCTCAGCCTTCAGCAATTCAACCTCCTGTCTCGCAACCTCCACTCTTCTGGCTTCTTCGGCGAGGCGAGCTTCATCAATTTTACGTTTCTCATCTACTAGTCTGGCCTCCTCTGATAGTCTAGCTTCTTCTGCTTTTCGACGTTCATCAGCTAGTCTAGCTTCTTCTGCAATCCTAGCTTGTTCTGCTCTAAGTTGTTCTTCTGCTAGACGCTTTTGCTCCGCCAATCTTGCCTCTTCGGCTTGTCTGCGTTGCTCTGCAAGCCGAGCCTGTTCAGCAAGATGAGCTTCTTCTGCCTTTCTTCGTTCTTCGGCAAGACGAGCTTCTTCCAATTTTCTCAATTCTTCGGCTTTCCTTGCGTTTTCTTGTTCTCTTAACAAACGCTGCTTTTCTTCTTCTGCGGCTACAAGATTGTCCGACAGCGCTTGCAGTTCGTTTCTGATTGATGCGAATGAATCTAACATTTCTCTGTTAGCGGAAATAACGGGAGCTTGCTTGGATTGTTCGGGTCCATAAATGTAATACGCCAAGGTGGATATTTCTTGAATTCTTTGCGACTGTTCGGCTTCGCCTGGTCGAAGGAATAAATCGATTTCTTCCAGAAGTTTTAGCGCTTCTTCCGGTTGTTTCACAGAAGTCGATTTCCGTGCGATTGTTATGAGCAACTTGCTGCCTTCTTTAAACCAATCGTTAGCCTAACGAGACACATTTTTATATAGTGACATAAAAAATGATATATCTAAATTTTATTTACCTCGTCTACCAGTTGGAAATACTTTACATTTTGATCCAGGCTCTCTTTGGTTGTATCAAGTTGATTGGTCAGGTTGTTAAATTTAAATCGGACTGTAGATATTTCTGTTTCGATTTTTGATACGTGCCCAGGACATTCTTCTTTAAGTTTGTTTCCATCGCTGCTAAGCTTTTTGATGCGAATTCCCATAGTCTGCAAAATTTGAATATTAAACCTAAAATTATTAATAGTTGAGAGTTCGTACCTCAACGTGCCTTGTAAATTGTTGGAACGTATCCCTAGCTGATTTTGAACTTGTGGAGGAATCTCCACTCCGGTTCTTGACATCGTTCAACTGTCGACTGAGATCGTCTATTGTTTGAATGATTTTTTGTGATTCAGTGGTGAATTCCACTATTTGGCGATACGTGTTAAATGACTCCTGCCTTTGGCGATAGATATTTTCGAATTTAGACTTGCTAAGTTCTAAAATATATCGCAGCTTTCTAATATCTTCTTCAGCAGATGAAGATGGTTCCTGAAAAAAAAAGAAGATAAAGCAACTTAGTTTAATCTATTGATATTTAAATCAAAGCCTCCACGCTAATACGAATGTTAAGTGAAAGTAGTGTTATTAAATTTTTTATTCAATTATCGAACCATCGAACATTAAACTTACTTGCTTCCGAATTCTGTGCTCGATTTGTTCGCACTCGGCTTCAGCGAATCTGAATCTTTCCGCTATGGTCTCTCGAAGTAGATCGTGTTCCCTTTCAATGCTTTCAATGCTTTCCAAATCTTGCGGCTGGGCGGAAATGAACGCTTCAGCCTTTTTATCTATCTCTTCCAGATTTCTAAAATACCCGACTAGAACCTATAACAGTAATTTCATTTAAACATAGTTTGCAGATGTTGATAATGTCACGTACCTGCAGGAGTATTTGGTATTCTGAAGAAATTTCTACTAACTTTTGATTCAGCTCGTTGAGCCTGCTCCTAACGGTCTGGGTTGCTTGGTCGGAACTGTGAGCTTTGGCAATAAGCTCTTCGGCGCTTCGTATTTTCTGAGCCACTTCGTTCTGAGCTTTCCTGATGTCCGGTAAAACCTTTTCAAGTTTGTGTTCTAAGAATGCCGCTACCTCGTTCGGTTTGGTACTATTGGTGGTGATTACAGGATATAACTGCGAGTCTAGCTTGGATACCCAGCTGATTGTCTGGAAAAAATGTTCCATTTTAGAAAACGGTTATTGGGAACTTTTATTTTATTGCAGAATAATATAATAAAAAAATAATACTGAATAAGTTTTGTGTACAAGGCGATTCATATTAAGTTATATATATTATTTTTACATATACGATATTATAAAGAACTTATTTATTTAAATTTAAGTTTTAACAAAGGAGAGCCACTTATATAGACAATGTTTATCACATTCTGTGGGAATTTCCGTTCCTTACCATTATGTGTCTATCAATGCTTCGCCCCGTCTTTTCTCAGCATTTTGTTTTTTTTTATTCATATCTTAGTGTCGCTTGCTAAATGCAATGCGGAATTTAATGACAAACGTAGTCTATTTTCCAAATTAACCCAAATTTTATTAGTTATTATGTTATTATATATTGGCAGTATACAGTTAATTTTTCTAATTACTGCGTTGAATGTAATATTAATATCAGTCAATAACTACATTTTGCACTATTAACCATGGAAATATTCACCATAGATATAATGGGCAAAACCAATATATCAGTAAAGGAACCATTCTGTAAACTAGAACGTAGTTTAGAAAGTGGCACTACGCATAAATGAAGTCAAGACATGATACATGTGTGTTATCAGGAAAGACGAGACAGAGTTGGCCAGAACCCCTCAATACATGAATTCTAATTTGAGAGGGTAAAGGTTTCAAATGCTTGATACCAATAAGAGAAGAAAATGGTATCAAAGAAGAGATAGGAACAAGCATTCTTAGGTGAAATAGATGCACGTACGTACTAGACAATGACCTCCGCATCCCATCCCGACAATCGTAAGGCTATATGAAACTACGATAAAATCGATAGTGATGTATGGCTGCCAACTTAAACTTCGTTGTTTCGAGAGAAAAGTGCTGATACAGATTTATGGCCCAATACTGCACAAAGTTATAGAATCAGAACCAACAAAGAGCTTCACGAACTAAAGGCTCAGATATAGTACGTTGGCAAGGCATGTTAATAAGACTACCAGCGAAGCGATGGATTAACCTAGTCTGGCAAACGAATCAGGAGATGAAAGAACAATACGTCCAATAACCGTAGAATCATGAGGTATAAGATGGATGGACACCAATCTCACGATAGAGCTGTGGAAGAATTAAGTAACATTTTTCTTTGTCAGTCATAGAGGCATATTGACTATTTCATATACCGGGTATGCCTAAAGTAAACCTTTAAGAATATTTTAAATATAAATTCAAATGTTTTGACATCCGTTGACCAAGTAATTAAACCTACCCACAATATTTTCAGTCATATTGTCCTTATACCCATAACACATTTTTGAATACAAGCACATTTTAAATATTATCAAAACTACGCGCAATAAAAGCAGATGCTTCACAAGTAACCTAATTTAGCTAGTCGAAATGCTTTGCTAATGTCAAAGAGCTATACGGAGTGTCCAAATTGAAATTGATTTTTGCGATTGAGATGGGACATCATTGTATTTTCCGAAATATTTCTAAAATATAAATAATAATGTATATCAAATTTGGACCAGATCCATTTCATAATTTTTCAGAAAATCTATGATCAATACTATAGGACGGTGGTGAGGAAGAGAAACAAAATTTTTTAAATTTGCGGCCATAGTAAAGAAAACCAAAAATTGAGCTCGCAAGCTTATAAATACGATCCGGTCGAAACGTTTTAATAAAGCAGACAGTCGTAGAAACAGGGTAGTGGAGTGTGACACGTGTTTTAATTTAATTCTGGAACTATTTTGAATTTAAGTTATAAATATCCAAGTGTCTGGTTAGCGCTGGAAGGATTTCGAAGTCTAGTCTTAAGTACGACATTTATCCTACTTCGGTGGGCTAAGAGTACGGCGACATACTCGTTGCATGTAAAATTATTTTTGACAGCGACACCTGTCTTTCTTCTGGTTTCCGTTTCGTGTTATTAGTTGGACATCTCTCTGCCCCTTTATCGGAATTTATGTTGAAAACCGACCAGGAACTGGGCGTAGTAATTAAATGAGTTTTATTTGTAATACGTGTAGTTTCTCGTCAATTGGTTGAATGTGTATGAACACGTGCACATTGTAAAGATTTGTTTGGCACAGACATCGTGTGCGTTAACGAGACTCTATAAAATAATTTGTTATTGAATTATTTCAATTTTAGAAAATAGTTTGGATGCGTTTGCCAGGACGCCAACATTGGAGACATAGAAATTGAAATGGAAAATATTAATTTGCTCATTCCAAATAGTCGACCGATTTTAAAAATACTCATAAAGCACAAGTCGAAACAATATTATGCGTTCTGAGTAATTAAACATTCGTTTTTCGATTATTTCGTTGTTACGTTACGTAAAAGATACGAATTCAATTCTGAATTTTTATGTATACATAAAAAATTATAAAAATACATCCTTTTAGATATAAACAAACTCTATTTCAGTTAGAGGCGTCAACCGGCAGGTATGTATTTTAAAACATTATTTTATTTTTCAAAAAACGACCTTTAAAAAGAAAAGTTTTTTTTTCAATTTTAGGTATTAAAAGTAATGTATAAAAAATTACATTAACAAATTTTAGTTAATTATTCTCCTGAACTGAACTAAGTTCAGGAGAATAGAGGGTCATTAATTATGTATTGACACGCCACTTGCAGTTATTCGATGACTTATTAAAACAATAAAAAAATCAACGGCAAAAGATTTGTGCTTTACTCCATGTTTTTCGAATTCGTTATTAGAAAAAACATACGAACCTATATTTTGTATAACGTAACCTAATATTTTTGTATAACGTCGATTTTAAAAAATGAAACCCCACGTCTTTAAAGAGTAAAAAAGGATTACAAAAATATGTAATTTGTCTATGTCTCGATAAGCTGTTTTTGAGATATTGGGTATAAAAACAAACGGAAAATGAAAGAAGGGAAAAATAATTTATTGTTAAATAACTTAAATTTTATTTTTTGAGAATCCCTGCAAAAAGTTCGTTCCAATTAAAACGTTGTATGATTGGGCACTATCTTGATGTCAGCTCATCGTATTGGTGTAGTGATAAGTTTTCAAGTCAATTTTTAACTTCACTTGTCGCTATGTTTCGATATCTTTCGCCATTCAAGGTCTCATCATAGATAATTGAAACTGAAATATTAACAGGTAACATTATATATCTTTGTAATCTTAGAATAATGTACAGCGTATATCTTAAAAAAGTGGCGTTACACAAATATATTAGATACATTTAGAAAAATAGAAAAAATTTGTCCAGTGCCTGCAAATTTTAGGTATTTCTGTTTTTCTACATGTGAACTTTTCTTTACAGAAAGGAAAATTTTATCATCAAAAGAATTTGAGAAATTTTTTACGAGGGAACTATACCAAACCACTATGTAACTCAAAATCTGACTGAATTAAAATTCCCAAAAATTAAATAAATTTATTCATTCCAGTTGTAAATTGTATATACGTTTTTATCGGTGAAGTTCAGTTTATAAAAACTTTTGTTTATGGGTTTCCATTACCTTATAGCTTTTCTTATTCATATTATTCAGAGCTTTGTATGGCGGTTCAACACTTCCGTAGCATCCTTATCTCAGAAATCATTGCTTGAAAAATTTTAAAATTTATTATCGGCGATGTTGCCACGCCTTTCTTAGAGGTTCGAACTTTCTGTTTTAAATGACAAGAATATGATTTTGTTTTTCAGATGCTTTCAATTTCAAAATGAAATAAAAACGTACCTTTTTCATTTGAAATAAGTAAAAAAGAAGAGAAAAAAAATGGCTGTTGCTGTATTTTTCATTAACCCTGTGTAATGTAATCATTCAAAATTACAGATTGTTACTGAGTCTTAATCACTATCACTTTTTTGGGAGAGTTAACGTCTATAATCGTTCAATTCTCCTTAATCAAGAGATGGGTAAGTAAAGATACATCTAGAAAAATTTAAATTTGAAAATGAATTAAGCAAATTACTCCACAATGACCAGTTATTGACAAAATGTGCTTAGTCTATCATTTTTGAAAATATAATGAATATTACTTCGAACGCGAAATAAGTTGTATTAAAAAAGTGTTAATTGATGTAGCATTCAATAGAAATAGAACCGTTCCAGGAATAGTTTCACTCCCGCTATACTAATTGCTTATCTTGGAGATTTTGGTTTGCATAGCAATTGCCGTCGTCACCACACATTCACGGAAACACAAAAACCCAAACCAACCTTGGTGCTTTCGGCCATTGTTTTCTCCAGTCGGACAAGGATCTCGCGCCTTTCGATAACTTCGTCGCGGAAAGTTTCCCAAGTTCTGGTCACATTCAACTGACGATTCGAAAGACGGTCTAACACAGACTCCACGCAGACACGGGCGCGTTGAGCGTCGAGATGAGGCTCGGAAATCTGGAAATATAAATACGCGCGTTTGCAGTTTGGAACGTTTTAACTGGAATATTTTTTCCTTTAGGGAAAAAAAAAGATTTGAAATAGATTATCAAAATACACAGAAACTACAACTCTGACTATAGGGCAGTGGACTGGTCGCGAGGTCTGGAAACTTGTCATATTGAAACATCCAAAGGCGGAGTTCGTATTAAATCCACGGTTAAAAATCTAACAGCTTAATATACACTAAACCTCCAAGAAATCAGGAAGCTGCGATGAAAAAAAATAATTTCTGAGATTTAAAAGATTTGAAAACAATGGGTAATAAATTGTTTAACAGAAATAGGCATGCATAAACATATTAGCCTAGATATTAGGTTAGTAGGTGACATGAAATTGAATATTATTTTTCAGTTGTTGAGTGTATATATTTTTTATATATAAAAGTAGGGTCAATTGACCTAACTATTTGTAAAAGTACCATGAAATTCATATTTATTTATATAAATTTATTTATTTATATTGTATTTGTGTTCTCGCAACCAAATGGAGTCGACATTATTATTGGAATTCCCCAAATCGCTAAATATCGTATTTGGGTATTCCTTGCAGAGAGTTCTAGGTAAATTGGACATCACAAGCACATAAAATTATTATGAAATACATATTAATATTAAATAATGATAGGTAATACAATTGCAAGATAGATGTTAAGATGTTAAGAAGTTGTCAGTTGACGGTCAATTTCCGGTGGTCAATTGACTAGACTATATAAAAGGGACATCTTACTTGCGACTCTTTGACTAGAAGTGATTAGTTTTGGTTAATTTTAAAAAAATGTTTTCAACTCCATTTTTGCAGCAAGAAAGATTTTGTAAAGTTCGGTTTTACTATTTTGTCAAGAAATAAATGACATGAAAATGTATTCGTTTTGGCTAGCCATTTATTCAATCAATAGAAGAGATTTTTTTTGAGAGGTGTTTGATTAACGATTGATAGGACGAGAATCAAAGCCTTTTTTTATATTTCCATTTTTGGTTTTTATGAAAGAGTGGAAATTATTTTTCCTTCTTTGTTTCATTGTTCAAGTGTTCTCTTCATGTTGTCGACCTACGGCTACAACATACAGATCTAACATAAAATTATAATATTAAACAAACAAGGACCGATCGGGATTGTTTATAATGACATAATCTTTTTTTTTTGTTGATTGGATTGTAACCTACATGTTATAGATATACCAGGGATGTCTATAAGAAGTAAAGTTCAAATTTTCTCAGTAACACAGTACAATTTTTAAGTCAATTTGGCATAAAAAATGTAAATAATCAAGTTTTTTTAATTAATTTATTATAATTTTTTATTTTGATTATAATTAATTTATTATACGTTTTATTACATCCTCGAATATAAAAATATTAAATAATTTCGGCTCACCCTGTATATATTTTTTACTAAAAACTATTTGAGCATTGACGTCAAATCTCCTAGTGGAAAAAATTAAGAAACATAGAGGTTGAAATTTTCAGTTCATTATATTGCGTGTTATACATCAATTTTATTACAGTCTCAACTGAAAAACGTAAGAAATTCGAACTAAAGACGAAGAATCGGCGTTCTTTGGGATTTTATAAATAGTTTTCAGAACGGCGTTCACTGAAGAAATAAATTGGAATAGGAAGTCAATTAAAAGGATCCAGACAGATTAATTGACAACGACTCTGTAGTTTTTTTTTATTAATGTCTGAGTTGGATAAGTGATTAGTTGAAGGAAAAGGCGATTTCCGGCGACAATCAATATTTCTATTCGTTAATTTATTACTGTTATTAAAAATAGTTCTTAAATAATGCTCGTGTTACCTTTGTTCCGGGAATGCAGAAATGTACAACGTTAAAATCGTTTTCGCGTAATTCATATATCAAGCAGGCCGCTACAAATCTAAACTGACCGATTTTGCATGGGAAAACCGATAAAATCCAGACGGATTTTCGGCAAAGTAAATATATTTTCATTGTGTGGGCCTCCGTTATGTAAAAATAGATGTTTTGATCAATTAGCCTATATTTTTGGTACAAATAATATGCCGTGTCGATTTTTCAAAAGCAAGAATGGTTCGTAAATTTTATATTTAGATTAAACATGCCGTCGCAAAAAAAAAGTCGTGGCAGATACATGTGGTATCCCGAATCCAGGGAAATGGAATCACCGCTCGACACGCCCTAGCTTAAGGAATGATCGGGCATTATTCTGTCATTGTCACGTCATAAGATTATTAGGATTACTGCTAGTGCCAGAAAAGCAAACCAGACAGTAACAATTTAAAGAGTTGAAGGAGTATCACTTAATTACCAAATAGTCTTTTTCAAACTGCAGTTGGTAATGTTTACCAGTGTATTTTTTAATGATTCATTAATCCAAAGTTAATTAAGTTGTATCGCTATGCTGTTCGCTTTATAATTATTTGAAAGATAGTATCGACTTTTCATAAAGGTGAGTGGCGTACGATCTAAAAAACTTAGTTTGGTTTGTAATTGGTCTCACGTAGACAAAAAATTGTCTGAGTCTATCCTCGCTGATTAGATCAAAATGTAGTGGTTTATGCTAGTTCCGATAAAGGAAAAGTGAAAGAAAGAAAAAAATAGATACGGCAAGAAATGAAGTTTTCGAGTGTGGTGTTTCTTTCGCAAATGCGGACGAAAGTTGAGACCGTCCGATTGCTAAGCCTCCTGGTCGATTAAAACGCACAATTTGAAGACTAGGTAAGTTGTTACCGCAAATATTAGTGAACAGGTAGCTAAAATTCTAGTTTGGTTACACTCCTCATATTTTCGACGAGATTTAAATGTTTAATTAAGTTGTTAAAATGTAAAAGTTGTTAAATGTAAAAATGCTCCCCCAAAAATATGTTGAAATTGACTTCTGTTTTTTAAGTACGACTTTAACATTAAGAATCCTGGATAGTAGAATCAAACACCCAGTTTCCAACGACTATCAAGCGGTGAACTTGTCAGCTTTGCTGTTTTAAATGTTATTAAATACGTTTTTCTACTCCCGTCTATAAAATACCTAAATACCCACCGATCTAGCGTGCGGGAAGCATTACTTTACCACGTCAGTTTCGTTTTCCATGAATCCGGGCCACTTTCCGGGATTTTACCGCACGGATTTGGGAGCAATCGGATGTTTTCGGAGATATTTCCCACGCTTTGAATTTTGACGTTTGTCAATTCTGACGGTCATGTCAGTGAATGTATTCGTGTTGTTTTGCGAAAATATAACCAAATACTAACGGTCGTAGAAAAAGTATAGTATGCAACACGTTCGGTAAACTTTTTAACTCACTCGTTTATTAAAAATTCGCTCCGCTCGTGTCAAATAAACTCGTGAGTCAAATGCCGTTTACCGCACTTATTGCATAATATACTATTAACAAGTGAACGTTCTGTGAATTGTTTATTTATTTACAGAAAATTATACATATATATTAGAATAATACTATAGCTATATACTAAATATTGTCTTTACCCTTTTCACTGCATATTAGCTTGAGCAAAATAAGCATGACTCAGTTGATTATCAAAACAATTAAAGAGAGAATATTTTACGACGCACAAAAAATGCTGCTTTAAAAACATTTGGCAGAGCTTAAAATTAAGTTGAAATGACGAACGAAGTGCTTAGAGTACGAATGAGAATCTTAAGAACTTCGAAGATGTCATTGAGAATCGAGGCGAGAGATTTCATCAGGACAAACTATAAACCACCGCATCAAGGTCACATGCTGCTGGAGTTTAAGAAGGGTCAGTTTTGAAATATGTTCAAAAATTTCACTTGCTCTTTGGGTTTTGGAAAAGATGGTGTCAAATTATCAAAAACATCTTCAAAATAATGTTTCAAAGAAAATTCCACAGGTTACCGTAATACTATTTACAAATATTTTGATTGAATTCTACTCTGTACCTGCTTATATATTGTTGTGTCGTTGTTGTGCTGTTATATATTGCTAAAGGAAGGGCATGAACGTTGTCACGCATGACTGATGACACCTGAGTCTCAGTTAAGATTCTTTGGTTGCTGATATATTTTTCTTCCGGTCTCTCCAATGCATTCTTTGCCGCATGTGCGTGTAATGCTGCAAACTACTGGCATCTCAAACGGAATTTTGTCTTTTGGGGATTTTTGGAAAAGTGGTAAATCTGGTTTTGACCAACAATCTTAACCGCGACGTAGGTCTTTACCTCTCACCAATATAGGAATCTGTTATACATCTCCTTTAGCTTCACCCTCCTCAAACAATATATAAGCAGACACAGAGAAGTATGCGGGTCAGTGTCAGTTAAGCTCTGAAGAAGCCAACAGGATTATTGGCGAAACGTCCGCAAGAAAAATGCTTTCGAAGTTTTCAAATAGAGTTAATTTTAACGATGTTTTACATACATAGTTAAAAGCTAAAATTTCGATATTTTTATTTAACGTATAGGTTAAATACATAATAGCATAATTTTAATTAATATTGGGCTTTAGGGCACGGAAATTCATACAAAGTCGGCTCCAAATACATGTGAGAAAGGTCTTTGTTTTGCGTGATCAATAAAAAAATAAACAGAAACAAATAAAACATATTTATGGGCCATTAAATGCCGTAAAGCATTACGAACCTTTGGTTGCGTTTTCTAACGCATTAAAACTTTAATCGTTGTTTCATTATTGCCCATTCTTATATACCTTCCGGGAAGTTATAAACATAAATTCAGTGGGCATTCAATGCAAGCTTTCGCATTGTATGACCCCGGAATGTCTATTTATAATTTCACTGACCATAATATCTGGCCGCACAGCACAGTATACGCGACGTGGCAGTTGTTCCAGCTATTATGCCTGATTTACTGCGAAATCGAGTTAAACGCATTGCCGCCACAAAGCGAAATTAATGAGTTTTCCTGAACTCACCTTATCTGCGGCTTGATAGTGTCCATATATAAGAAATCTTCAAAATCAAATATGAACAAGAAAATGAATAGGGAAAATCGTGATTCGAATAAACCCCTGGAAAATAATGATTTTTCTTACTTTATCCAGCGTAATGTTATCACCAAAGGTTTGGTCTTATTTGTCTCTCAAGAGGATATTTACTATATTTTTTGTGGATAATGACTTTTACATTATTTTAACAAATTTTAATAATTGTTACTATATTTTCCTTCTTTTCCTAATGGGATTTATACAAATTTCCGAAGCGTGTGTGTCAATCCTCATAATTATTTTTTTTACTACTTCCTATTTTAAAATATCTCATTATTAAAATGTCACTTTCAGGCCTAATAATCTTTTACATTTATTAACAACTTACTTTGCTTTGCTCAGCTCGTGTCTAAATGATCAAACTTGTTATAAAACTATTTAGTTGAGCTAAACTTAGTTGTTAAATAAGTTGTACCTCATTGATCGATTTATTATATATTTATTGCATATTTTGCTTTCTGGTTACTTTTTTTAATTCTTACATACTCTTTTATACAATTTTTAGTGTTTGGTTATTTGTCCAAAGTATTACTTTAAATAAACAATTTATTATTATTTCCACGGAACCTGGACTAATCTTGTAGGCTAGTCAAAAGCATACCAACGAAGCTAACAATTTGCGACACCTTTATATCATTTACATTAATATGTTTAAGCTAAATTTGTGCTAAGCGCTGCATGATTCGGAAACAGATCTCGACTACGCCTATGTGTCCAATCCAAGAATAGATGTGACGGAAAACTCGCGGTTTATAATTTTTTTCGGTATAAATAGAAACGCATAAAATTATCGATTAACGACAAATTCGCTAATAGTTTTAAATGTTTCATAATAGTGTGTTTAACTAACATTTCCTGTCAGCATGCCTGAGACGTAGCTAGCACACCCGTACTTACCCTTTTGCTGTCATTGATAAATGTCAAACCCGTATTCTTCGCCGACTGGAAATAGGGAATCAGAGATTCGAATTTTTCTTCGGTAGCCTTCATCGCTTCTTCATCAATATCACCTTTGTTCTTTAGCGAGGCCTCGAGTTTATCCATTTCTCTGGAAAAAAGGAGATCGACGCTCTTATGGGATATTTCGGTTATACCACGTCAATTTCATGAAATACTATTGCATTCATTTTAATTCGTTGTTTTATTATCAAATTGCGATTCTTGAATTTCACACAAATATTCACATTTATTAGACAAAAAAATCAATCAGTTATATTGAATAAGGCACTAGGACTGTCCCTATGCCACTATCAATTTGAGCTCTTTATTTTCAATATACAGGGTGATTTTTTTAAATGTTAGGTTTTTATTAAATCTAACCGAAGATTCAAACAATAATTGAAAAATAATTTTATGTTGTTTACTTCAAATAATTTGGTTTGAGTTGTCAAAAAATCGTAACACAAATCAAAAATTTACGATTCAAAAGTGTTAAACAAACCATCAACATAACTACAAAAAAGTCTATACACGTTCATTATAGAAAATAGGGAGGCCACATGGTAACACCCCGGCCCTATAATTTTCGTTACTCTTTTGAGGTTTTTGATGAAAATCGTGCAGAAACTGTGTAAGGGTTTGATGTATATCAGTAAATTTCAAAGGACTCCAAAATATACCAAAGACGTTAATAAATATGCATTTCAAAAAGTTAACTTTGATAGCCTGTATATTGAAAAAAAAAACTGTTCAGACGGAAAAGGTCACTGTTTGAGCCAAAGCAATTTATCGTTCACTTAGTATTTTGCAATGCCCAGGTCAAATTTACGTATTAATTTTTCATAAGCCAGAACATGTCACTACCTGTTAACAATGTCAGCCTCCATGTGGAACTTGACATACATTCTTGCCAAATCAAGACGGTTTTCTAAAAGGTTCTTCATCTTCATCCATCTGTCATGTAGCCCTTCCACCTTAGAGTCTACGTCTTTTCTTTGGTTATCTTCGAGGTATTCCAATATCGGCGGTAGGGTTAAAAGTAATTGGTTAATTTCGTTTCCTTTCGTCTGAAAAATATACTCGCCGTTATCGAGAATGGATGCTATTCACACTCCAATGCCAAATTACCTGTAAATCGTTTTGCAATTGGTTGTGTAACTGGAAAAAGTCCTCTGCTAATCTCAAATCCCCGCCCATATCTTGGTGTCCTTGTAGGAACGCCTCCGCAATCGTCACTAACCACTTATAAATTTCGTTATGTCTCTCCAAAAAGTTGTTGAGGGCTGCGTTGATTCTGATATTCTCTTCCTTATGAGCAGTGCACAATCCATTTAGAAGGATTTTCATGTCTTCTAGTTCTTGAACCATCTTTTTAACGCCTGTGAAGAAAAATTGTTGCGTCTTGTGATTTTTTGAAGCTGCCAGGATCCAATGATGGCCTTAAATTTTATTAACAATCTGCATAATATACCTTCTGTTCCGCTAAAAGTGGCCGCCGAATCTATAATCGCATAGCCTTCACGTATCGGTGCTGAAGTTGATTCATCTATAGTTCTGGAACATTGCGCGTGAAGCTCAGCTAACTTGGGAGAAGTTTTCGGAAGTTCCGTTGTTTTCAACTGAATTTCCAATTGGTCTAATTTGTTGAGAACCTGCAGAGAAGTGGTAAATTAGTCGTAGTCGCTTCGGAAAATATAAGAAATGAAGAAGCAACAGCTGTGAAACAAGCGTCTGCAGTTTTAAGGTACTTGGGATTGGTGGAATATGATGAAATTGGTACAAATTGATTTTAGTTGTTTTTTGATATTTCAGTTAATGATGTTTGGATGGGCAATGTTCTTCCCTTTTCTTAATAACTGTCCAAATGGAGAGAGAAAAATGAAATACTTTTTACCACAAGGCTATTAAAGGGGCTAAATTACCGTCTGAGCGGATCGGAAGAAGGCTATAACTCGTTCAAGAAGACTTTCGTGATTTTGTAAGTCAGTCAAATAGTCAGATGTTGATGACAAGACAACGTAAGCTTGTTGCGTGGCTTGTTCTCCTGCAAAACAACCGGATGCGAGCAATTGCTCGGTGGCTTTGGTGATTTTTAAAGCTTTCTCTTGAAGCTGCTTGGCTTCAGGTAGCAGCTTTCGGTGCTCGTGTAGTAAAAGTTCGGCACTTGACGATGAATCGCCTATAAAATTAAGTATTTCAATTACAATTTCATCGATGCTGAAGTACGTAGTTACCTAATTGACTGCTGCTAGCCAACAAATTTCGTCTGTCGTGTATTTTATCTTCGAGTTCTTTCAAATCAGCCGCGAGAAGTGCGAGGGCGAGGCACTGTTCCAGTTGCGTTTTTCTTCTGTTAAATGTGAGTTCCAAAATTTGCCTTTTAACGTGCAACTCGTCTAACCAACTTTGTACTTGTGAGATTGCTGCAAAGGAGAAAAGGGGTATAGTGATGACTTTGTGGATATTGAACTAAGACTGTAATACTCAAGCGTCTTAAGGATGTTAAATAACACATAACCAAGAGATGTTACCGTCAGTAGATGAATATTTTTTTCCAGGGTTTTATAAATTAAGCTTATCGTTTTGTGGCAGAATAGTCAAAGTTAGCAAAGAGTTTGGGGAATGATATCATTTCCTCAGAACCGAAGTTGCTCAAAACTAATTTTTTTAATTTTGTTTTTAGCTAATTTAGTGATTTAAAAACTACCTCGCCTGTGATATAGACCATTGATTGATTTATTGATTGAATGAGCATATTCGCAAATGGGAACTTTTTATTGCATAATTTTTTTATTGAATATTCTTAACCTTAAAACTGTTCTTAAATATTTATCTACAGGGTGTTCCACTAAGAAGATTATTTTGAGAAAACTATCAAAAATTGTATACATAATCTCTATTATACATATTACATTATTTTATACAATTCTCATAAAAATAATAATATATTGATGCGCTGAATGCGATAGAGGCACAACCCAAAACAGTTTGCTTAATTCGATCTAATTTTATTTTTAGGAGTTATTCGTTCGACAAACATGAATATGTGCATCACTGGTTAAGAATAAACTTTCGGTTATATTGAAACAAGCTTCCACATCAAAGGATATACCTCCTTCGTTTCTATACAAAATTATTTCTAATTTGATTTGATTTTTTTTTTTTTGATTCTACGGCATTCGGGTACATAAAATGAGGTCTAGACATGATTCCGTTTCAATTAAAAAAAATGCCACCACAAGTTTCACATCTTTAAATACCTTACATTTCTGTCGAGCTAAATATAAAATAAAATTTCGCTAGTTATAGTCAGCGAAGTCCATCAAATAGAACAAATTTTATTTCTAATGAGACGGGTAGTAATGAGGCTTGTTTTCTTTATGCTAATGGCAGACAATTAAAATAAGACATTGTTAATATTATTTTTTAATTCTTTTCCACTACTTGGCTTTTTTTGAGAGGAACTTTGTCAACGTACTGGGTAACATTTTTAAAAATGGAAATTTCTTGTATTGCATATAGGTGTCCCAATTTTGCAACCAAAACGTTCATTAAAGTTGAAATGTAATTTAGAAACGACTCTCAATTATTGGGGTTAAGGTAAGTGCCAAGTGTACTTCTTTTTTTAAATGAGTTCAACTTCGTGTCACTTCCGGTTCAATCGGAAATTGCTGTCAACTTGCTTATTTCAGGGAACACTCTGCATATTATTACATTTTGAGATTCCGTGTGAAATTCTGAACATATTTTGTATATAATGTCTTATCCTTATGTCTAACCATTTTCGAAATCTTAAAAAAAAATTGGACCTCTAGCTTAAGATTTTTTCCTTGTATTTGGTAAAATGTTAAGAAAAGAAGCTTATATAAATAAAGTAATCAAACGACGAAAATGCCCCACTCCCCTAATTATATAAATGAGCAAGAAGAAGACTGCATTTTAATTAAGTATATTAAGTGATTCGTAGTCACACCTCGATTAACAGAAGTTCGTATTCGTTCGGGTCGCGAGTCGAGTGTGCCTTCGGCTCCAAGTTCCTTTAATTTTCCTAAAAGCGAATTGCCCGCCTGAAGCGCCCCCATTAAAGATTCCAATAAAGCCCTGCGGAGGTCATGGATAGTGGTCAGGAAATTCTTTACGGCCTCTATCTCCACCGGTATCACTGTGTCTGAACATGCCGATTCCAGCGCATCGTTTTTCTCGAAGAACTCCTGTGCCTTGGTGTGGTACTGGACGTTCAGGTCGAGAATAATCTAAAAATCAGATATCACAGATTTGGTTCGTAAAACTCCAAACGCAAACGCCATCAAACCTTTCTTAGTTCCAGGGTAGAATTGATATCCCTCCAAGCTCTTCCGAGCGATTCTGCCATGGCAGCATAAACCTCGGCTCTAGGTCTCTGGGTGGCGATAAGTTGATCGGCTTGTCTGAGTAATTCTTCCACTGGACTTTGCTTGTTCTGCGAAGCAAAAAATATTGAAAGGTTGCTGCTATATCTTTAATTATAACAAATACATTAAAATAATGGATAGCTCTCTAATCATTTGTAAAAATATTCTGTAACTATTAAAATTTTAATTTAAGAAATCATGATGAAAGTTAGCTATATGTCGCCTAAACCCATTCGATAAGTAGAGTAGTATCCCGATTATCGGTGCGCGCTTTGTCCGGGCGGGGGCTTTTATAGGCGGCATTTTAAATTGATCAACCGTGCGCGGATTATCCGTGGCTAACGATCTGAGGTTGGCAGCACATGGACGCTGCATGCACTGTGCCGTTCTTTTCGGGGAATCCATAAATTTGTGTCGGGAAATCCATGTTTTAACCTATTATAATTGCCGAGTGCTGATCGACCGGCTCGTTAGTTTGGGTTAGTTAGTTAAACGTAAACAGAGGCACAAAATGGAGCGACCGGTACTATGCGTAAACCCAATGTTTTAAATATTGGGCAAAAAATGGAAATTTTAAGGCAATTTGAAAATAACATAAGTGTTGGCCAAAAAGTATAGCACTGGAAAACAAATAGTTCGTGACATTGTAAAGAGAAAAGCCAAATTACAAAGCTTTGTAGCTAAAGCAGTTAGTGCTAAAGCTTTTTCTGATCGAACATCACTAAAAGGGTCTACTTTTCGACAACTTGACGATGCTATGAGCAGCTGGTTCTTGTAGAAGAGATCGGAAGGGGTTCCGATATCAGGACCTATGTTTGCTAGACAAGCTGAAAAGTTTCATTAGCAATTAAAAATTAAAAGCAACTTCTCGGCATCTTCTGGTTGACTTCACAGATTTAAAAAACGCCATTAAATACAAGAATTGATTGTTCAAGAGGAGAAATTAAGTGCTGATGACATTGCTAAGGTAAAATTTTGCTACGATTTTGAAAATCTTTTGACGGAGCAAGACCTAAAACCTGAGCAAGTGTATAATGGGGACGAAAAACACTTGCTGCAGGCTCAGAAATTAGTGCACCAGGTTAGCTTTACGTTACATTATATTACATTTAGCTTTACATTAGCTTTACATATTTTGCTTAATGTTTTTTAAATTTGTTTAGGTTTCAAAACAAGCAAAGACCGTTCAACAGTTTTGTGCTGTGCCAATGCCTCAGGAACGAATAAGTTTAGGCTATCTGTTATTGGAAAATCAAAAAATCCGAGGGCTTTTAAAAATATGAAAACACTACCCGCTGATTATTATAATCAAAAGGCAGCGTATATGGATAGCGTAATTTTTAAACAGTGGTTTTTTAAAAAATTTATACCCCAAGTTCGAATTTATCAAAAAGAAAATAATCTTCCACCAAAGGCTGTACTATTACTGGGCAATGCGCCATCGCATCCTAATGTAGAGCAACTTAAGTCAGAAGATGGAAACATATTCATAACATATTTTCCACCGAATGTAACATCTATTGAACAGTCAATGTACCAAGGGGTTATAGAGAAAATGAAAAGGCTTTATAGAAAAGATCTTATGCTTCAACTTTTGGAAGAACATGACATTGTGGAATTTTGAAGTAAACGCAACCAACATTAAAAAATCATTTTATAAAATAATGACTTTAATAGAAGATACAGAGAATGAATACGTAATTGGAGATAACAGAACATGCCATCTATAAATGGTTTGGAAGAAATAGACAATAAAGAAATACAAGACTGGATAGAATGTGATCACAAGGAAGCAGGGTATCAGATCATAAATGACGATAACATAACAAGACTTCTGAAGAAGGTTCTCAAAAAAGTGATGCGAATAATTATTGCGAAATCAAGACAAGTCATCCAGAAGCAAAAGATGCAGTAAACGTACTTATTCAATATTTTGAAGAACAGCCTGGAATGGATGACATTCATGTACTTCAGCTTAGAAAAATGAAAAAAATTATAGAGTGTAGAAGTTACGAAGCCCAAAAACAAACAAAAATCAGTGATTTTTGCAAACATAATTTATTGTATACATTTTGTATACACTGTATTTTATTTTTTGTTACATGTATGTTGTATCTTGTATTAAGTTTGTTCTCTTTGTTTGATACATTTATTTATCTAAATAAATTTTAAAAAAATATTAAATAAAAGTTGAAAAATTGAAATTTTCAATAGGCATTTAGATTGGAGGATCCAAAAACGTAGTCATATGCAAAATGCCCATTTGAATAAAAAAACAGCTTTAAATATATATCACGAAAATCACTTTACTTACTTTTTATTAATTACTGATGCTGGTTAGTTAGGTTCGTTTAACAAGAGCATTTAAAAATTTGATGTTCTAGAACAATGTTCTTTGGGGTATCCCACATTTTATGGAAAATTAACATTCGTGAATATTCATTTAGCAAATAAATCTTCGTCATTACATAAAGTCGTTTTGCGGATAGCGAACTGAGCCATTTTTTGCAAATTACTTTAGGAAATGGTTCGTTGATCAATTTTTTCGAGATAGAAGTAATGTAGTACCCATTAGTGTTAAATTTTTTTCGTAAATCCGATGCACTACCACAGAAGTATCTAGAGTAACGCCGTTGCCTACGCAGTGACGTAGCGGTCGCCCACTTGAACCTGGCCGCGACGAAGGTGAAAATAAAATGTATGCATAATTTACATCAGGCCGTCATTGTACGTTTTAAATATTATAATTAGAATTGACGCCGCACGTATGTCCCAAACACATTAAATAAATAACAACAATAGGGTGCTCTGGACGGAATGCGAAAAGTTTAGTGTTACTGCTCTGATGATATTTTCCGTTTTGATTTAAGTTTATAACAACTATGCTATTTATTTATCGATATCTACTCAAAAGCTAGAAGAGGACTCTCAGAAGCATGTTCAACCCGAGTCATACATACTTCAGACTAAACAAAAGATTTTTTCTTAAATTCTTAAATATTCAATATACAAGTGCATATTCATCAAACAGGGAAGTTTTATTTCTAAACTACTTGAACTATTTTATCGCATTTAGCATAGTTTTGACACTCGTTAGTTATTATTATTTTGAAAAAAATAAGTCTTCTGACACTTGTTCTCCGCTGCGTTCCGATCGTGCCTAAAGTAACTGTGACTTTAGCGACGTTTATAAAACTTATTGCATATTATACCTACTATATAATGCATACGATTATGCATATTATAACGTGATATAATACTAATATGGCATCAAATCAATTAATTAATTTGACTTCATTTAATCTACAAGGTAAGTAAAGAGTGGATTATAATTCATAATTTCTACGGGGGGTAAAGTTAAGTACTTCTTTATGTTGATCGTTGAATTTTAGACATTTGATGATTGACTATAATCGCTTCTCATTGGTTCGTAAACATGCATATTACTTTGAATTTTTTTAACTGGATTCAAATTTTTGAACATATTCGAGTTTAAAGTAGGTCTGTTTCGGTGATAACTATGTATAATTAATGTTTGCGGTAGTTTTGATCAGTTTAATATTGCCAAATAATTCGATTATACCGAGAGATACAGAAAATCCTATTGCAGTGCAGAAACTTCTGGATTTTAATGGCACAACCCTTGTTTTTTCTTTTTTTTTTATTCAGTACACTAATTTAGCAACGGGAGCATTTTGTACTATCTTTTAATTGAATTTGATATTTTTATTTGAGAGCTCAAACTAAACTGAAAAAATCTACTAACTTAAAATTTTTCATTCTGGTTATTGCAAAATATTAAACTGTCATTAAACCGGGCGTCCCAGTAAGCGCAACGGGATAAGCTAGGGAAACGGACTATCCTAGAAATTAAAAAAAAAAAATAATTAAATTAGTCACGACAAAGTTGGGGGGGGGGGTTATTGTTACTTTGAGTTAATCACAGTTAAAGTTGAAACCTAATAATATCAGCTACTGGGTAATTTTGTGCAAACCCCAGAAATTGTAATAAAAATAAATAATAACGTTTTATTTTGATTTTCAATGATATTAGGCATTGTAAGTAATAAATTAATGTGTTATTTGGTAAATTCTGGATAATTAGACGACCTGTAAAAATGTTTTCCAAGTTCATATTTTGGGTTAGGATAGATATATTGAGATGCGACTTCCACTGAGTTATTGGGCTCCTATTTCGACACTTAATGAAATAAACAGTAAAGTAATACCTTATTCATGTTATTCTTTTTTCAGAAAATATTTTTTTTTGCGATAATGGCAGAACACGTCATTTTGCAATAGCGTCACTCGTAGCACAATAGATAGTGATTTTTAACACTATAGTTGACAATTAGAAATATTCCGTTTCCACAATGCCGCACCTCGTTGCCCTACTGGGACGCCCGGTATAGTCCAATATTATTTATCATGGCGTGGTTTTTTAAAATAAACCAAAAGAAAAAGAAATTAATCAAATCAAAACTATTGCAATGCTGAATCGAGCATTGAAAAATACTGATGATGATGATGGATTTCAGCTACATTAATTTATTTTGGGAACACTAGAAATAGTTTTAGTGTTTATTTGCATGGAATTATATAACGTTCTTGGGTGGCACCGAAACAGCTGGACGCACCTAAAAATGCACGTTTACTTTATTGTGTGGTGAATTAAATTGCAACAAACTTTTTGCAATTTTTTTGGACATGGTATTGCCAAAAACTAGATATAAGTCCGGTAAAGTTGAAGTTAGGCTTCCTCACTTAACCTATCTAATAGTATTTTTTGTTTTGCTTGCGTTCATGGTTTGATAATTTAAGTTTGTGCCCAGCACCAAGACAGTTGAATTTTACTGGAAATCACAATTTCTGTTGAGTATGCAGGTAAATTTTAGTGAACGACGTGTGTATGAATCACCTTGTATAACGCTTGCGGTAATGTGGTTTATGACAAATAACCCGCGCTGGCATAAAGTCTCATTAACATGTTTAATTAAGTCGCTTGTGGCAATCACACAATTTTGCCTGTTTCTGTAAACGTCGTAACTAAATTTAATCGCTCATGAATTGACGTCCTTTGCGCAGCGTTTCTGTTGAAAAAAGTTATAATTACCTGTAACTGACGGAGAACTTCATCGTGCGCTTTTTGCAACTCTATTGCTTGGGCGAGTGTTGCACCTAGACTCGTCAGTTCCGGGGTGATTTCTAAAATCTTCAGGCTAATCCAATCTCCGCACTGCAACAAACAAGAATCGACTCAATATTCGTGGTTCGAAATACCATACGCGATTCAATTAAGATAATTAAGATTAGTTTTCAACATATTGTCATATCGTTGACGGCCGAAAGCTTTAATAGTAGCTTTTCATCTACAGAATCGCCCGGTCGATACATGTAATTAAATAAATCTTTGTCTTGATTTTCCGTTGGTAATTTATAACTGGAACACGCCTTGCGCAATTAAGCACTAATAAATTCTGAAAAAAAGCACGTAACGTGTGGGATTCCGCGAGTTCACGCACAGCCACGATTTAATTTGATTAGGATGTAGATGGAGGAGTGCCTCAGGTAACGTAGTTTTTAAATCAACGTATGGGAAAATCTATAGAAACGTTATGATTTCTATATCAAGTATAATGTGCGCCACGAAGTTCTTTGGTTTATTTGTATAATTTAGGTTAGAAAATTAGTACCCTCTATGTCATACCAACAACAAGTAGGAAGCGTTTGACAACTAATTGAGAAAGCCAGAGAATTTAACATAACAATATACCTCTGTTTTGTCGACTACTCCAAGTTAAAATGGCCAAAATTGTGGCAAATACTCAAAGCAATGGGGGTCCCTGACCGTTTAATAATAGTTATCCGACAGTTCTTTGAACAAAATTACGGTCACATCAAACAGGTTTCAAGCGATGAAGGGTGTCAGACAGGGAAGCGTTCTCTCGCCCTTACTGTTCAACAAATACACCGAATAACTGGATAACTGGCAGGGTGGTATATCTGTAGGGGGAAGGAAATCCAACAATCTGAGATATGCCGACGACACACTAATTATAACATCTAGTGTAGAAGAAATGGAATCTATTATGCACCGTCTCCAGGAAACTAGTGGAGAATTTGGATTGAAATTAAATCCCAACAAAACTATTGTCATGATTGTAGACCGGCAAAACCACAATTAACCCCACGGGTTCAATGTGGTGAATAAGTACCTGTACTTGGAATCTTTAATTGACAATAGCGATGTATGTGAAGGTGAAATAAAGCGACGAATTGCATTAGTTCGAATAGCCGTAACTAAGTTAAGTAAGATCTGGAGAGATACAGCCATCACTAAAAACACCAAACTAAGATTGTTGAATTCACTTGTGTTCCCGATTGCCACTTAGGGAGCTGAAACCTGGATGATTAAGAAGAGCGCTTCAAGGCGGGTACGAATGAGTCCGTTCTTGAAGAACTAAATACTCAACGAAATCTGTCAAAAACGATAAATCGAAGCTTTCTAACATTCATTGGCCATATTGCAAGAAGAACGGAATCACTGCAACTACTAATTGTCAAAGGAAAGATAGAAGGAGGACGCCTGCGCGGAAGGTCACCCAAAAGATGGATAGACCAAGTCAAGGATCTTATCAGCCACGACCTTTATGGTCCAGACTAGAACGGAATTGGCACAATGCTGCAGCACTGCTTCAAGAGCATCATAGTCACTAATCCCTTCTTAGGGAAATGGACTAAAGAGAGAGATGTCATATCAACACCGTGCTGAATTCACTTAAGACCTTTATTATTATTCAACTAAATTGCGTTTAAAGCGTTTCTTTATATGCCGCCTTCTCTTAGAAGGTTGACTATGATTATTACGGGTCATACATATGCTGGAAATATTGATCTAGATCCTCTTAAGTTATTCAGCCATGAAGTACGTCTTCTTTCAGGACTTCGTTCGACGTGTATTAATAATTGGAACATGTGGTAGCTTTCTCTGCACATAACATGACCCATGTAAGCAAGCTTCTTTGTTTTTACAGTGTTTTTTACTCTGTTTTTTTTTTTTTTGCTAGCTTTAATATCTCTGTATTTATTACCCTTTACGACCAATAAACTGTAAGTTTTGGAATCTTTTTAAGTCATCTCTGTTCGTTGTATATGAGCCTGGTTCATTGTACATCAACGCAAAATATATGCCATAGTACTATGCTACTCCCGAAATGGTAAGAGCTACAAGATCGGTTAAATCAAAGAAAAGTTACGACTTTTGATTTCCATTCAACGTTCAAAGCCAAAAGTGCTGCCAAATTCCTTCTAGTATAAAGACAGGATGATTTATCAACAACGCCTAAGCTAATTATTCAAAGAAACTTCCACAGCCTACCGTAATACTTTTTACAAAACTTCTGGATTCCTCCTGCGTCGGTTTTTGCTGAGTCGAACTAGCTAACGTTTCGCCAATCATCCTGTTGGCTTCTTGGAGTCGAATATTACTCTAAGATTCTTAATTGATTGACCCTATTTATTTACGGTATAATAAAAAATCTATAAATATAACATCAGTTATTCTCAACCATATGCACTTATTCGCTTGACCGCACTCGAGGGATCTGAAGTAATTTGGGGTTAGTATTAGAGTGACTGTTTTAAATTCGCCAATACATTGGAGACGAGCATTTTTTAATGAAAAATGGTCTAAGTGGGGCACAACATCGCAGAAAATGGTTTAGGGGAACAGCCAACCCCACAAAATTACAAAGGGATGTTCATGTACTTTGTATTTATTGTATTTTGGACAGTATATAATTTACTCGTGATTATTTTGAACCATGAGCATAGCTGAATTGCAAAAAAGGCAAGAGGAGTTTCGAAATTAAACCATAAGCAGGACTAAGACAATGCTAGCTAAGATTTGGAAGTTGGTTATTGGAAAATCAAAGAGGCTATGGCTGCGACTCCTACCCTACCAGATAGAGCGTTTCATCATTAAACTTAGCGGTACAAATAGACATAGTGGGAGCATTCAACATTGCAGTTACAATATTGAATGTTTAGGACTTATTGATGAAGCACACAACGAGAAGAACAGAACCGCCGTATGTAATGAGTTGTTGGAAAACTCATTCATACTAATTCATAATAGTATATTATGCAATAAGTATGGTAAACGGCATTTGAGTCACGAGTTCCTTTGACAAGGGCCGAGAGAGTGTTTAATAAAGTGTTAATTCAAAAGTTTACCAAACGTGTTGCGTAATATCCCGGAAATGTCCGAAGTGGTTCGGATCCGTGGGAAACGAAACGGACGTGCTAAAAAGACACTTTCGGTGTATATTTGCAGATTTTTAGTATTGTAGATGTTCAATTTCTTACTCTTTTCCTCGCTTTTGCCCTACTTAACGATAATATTACAATTAGATCTTAATTTTCATGGGTTTCTTTAAGTGCCTTCTATTGTTAGTCTGGGGATTGCTGTTGTGTATATCTGGGTCGTTTAGCGCAGTTAATTTGCATTTTAATGACTAAATTATTGCCGTGAAATGCCACGCAAACACACTTTGTTTCTGGATTACTTGAAAAAATTTGCCAGTAATAAATCCAAAAGCGATGATATAAAAAATAAGGTTAATAACAACTTAATCACTAAATTGAGTAGCACGTTGGCAACTGAATGTAGACTCGCTTAATTAATTACTAGTTCCAGATACATAAAACAATTTTCACCTTGCTTAATCAATTCGATAGAGTACTAGTCTAAATCAATTCAATCTTCATAAATAATCATATTAACTCCCACGGTCTTTGGTATGCAGAAACGTATCCGTGCACTGTTGTTAATATCACATCATTCGCTATTTATAATATTTACCGCTAGCCTAGGGGTTAGCTTGATTATATCGTATAAGTAGCCAAATATATTATTACTTTTCGTGCAATGCCGATCTATTTCCTTCTTCTATATTGTTGCATAAGATTTTAGTGCTTGGAACTTTTCACTGATTACAAATATATTGAAGATTTAAAAATTCTGTTTAAACAAATTATGGGACCTAAAAAAATAAAAATTGGAAGTTGGTTAGTGGAAAATCAAAGAGGTTATGGCTGCGACCCCTACCCTACCTGATAGAGCGGTTCATCATTAAACTTAGTGGTGCAAATAGATATAGTGGGAGCATTTAACATTGCAGTTACAATATTGAATGTTTATGATTTACTGATAAAGCGCACAACGAGAAGAATAAAACCCCCATGTACTTGCGTACATTTTGTGCAAAGCTCAGAGAGTCTTAGATAAGAATATCTTACGACAAACCTCATTGGTTGAAACTTTTTTAGTTGAACATATGTTTTAAGTGAATTGAGACAAGCAGAAGTCACAAAAGGGGTTCAAGACCTCATCGGTGCTTACTGAACTGACTGAAGGACGGCGAAAAAAAACGTATATACTTTTCCTTATCCAAAGTGTACGCTCACTTTGGCATGAGCTTTTTGACAGCAGTTCTATGTCAGCACCAATAAGAAAAACTAAATATCTAACTATTAAGTCAATATTACCCTGGTGCTTTTTAGTAGTTAGGATTTCTCAGAGCAAATAATATAAATGCATTTTTTAAGGATTGGATACTGGATTTTCGACGTTGGGGCCATCCACGAATGAGATGCAGATCTAATTGACTCTAAAAGAATGTTTTTATATGCAATATTATTGACATGATCTAGTCTGGAAATTTACAAAAAAATATTTTATAAATTTCATTAGGATTTAATAAACTTTAAACACATCTTGGGAACCACATTTAAAAAAAAACTTCTTGAGAAAATAACAAGTGATGATATGTTTAGTAGTATTCTTTATTGTCATGTCAATATAAAAAAAAAATAGGAAACCACTTTTACAACTTAACTTCATGAAATTTTCACAACGTGATTGGAGACCACCGTGTCTACAACATTTGAAAGGTTAAAAGCTAGATTGTCTGGCTTTCGTTTAATTCTACGCATTCCGCAGTCCATTTTAAAAGAAATTTATGATCATAAGCCTCACTTGCATCCATTGCGTATGCATATTTATGGTAATAACAAATTAATAACGTCTGCCTTCGAAAATCTGTCAAGGTCCCACTCTGAATTTCACACCAGGTAAAGAACCAACCGAGTGTCGAGTTTAAAATTTATACAAACCTACACTTTAAGATGACCCACATTATACAGAGTCGTGTATCCTTTAGCGATCTCATTAAA